GAACTAAAAAGCCTCTTGATGAAAGTGAAAGAGTAGAGTGAAAAAATTGGCTTAAATCTCAGCATTCAAAAACTAAGATCCTGGCATCTGGTCCCATCACTTCATGGCAAATAGATGGGGAAACAATGGAAACAGTGACAGACTTTATTTTCTTGGACTCCAAAATCACTGCAGATGGTGACTGCAGCCATGAAATTTAAAGACACTTGCTCCTTGGAAGGAAATTTATGACCAACCTAGACAACATATTAAAAAGCAGAGACGTTACTTTGTAGACAAAGGTCCATCTGGTCAAAGCTATGGTTTTTCCAGTAGTCATATATGGATGTGAGTTGGACTGTAAAGAAAGCTGAGTGCAGAAGAATTGATGCTTTTGATCTGTGGTGTTGGAGAAGACTCTTAGAGAGTCCTTTGGACAGCAAGGAGATCCAACCAGTCCATCCTAAAGGTAATCAGTCCTGAATATATACTGGAAGGACTGATTTTGAAACTGAAGCTCCAATACTTTGACTACCTGATGTGAAGTGCCGACTCATTAGAAAAGACCCTGATGCTGGGAAAGATTGAAGCAGGAGGAGAAGGGAATGACAGAGGATGAGATTGTTGATTGGCATCACTGATACCATGGACATGAGTTTGAGGAAGCTCTGTGAGATGGTGAAAGACAAAGATGCCTGGCGTGTTACAGTCCATGGGGTTGTAAAAAGTCAGACATGACTGAGCAACTGAACAACAACAAATCTAATAATACTGGCTCAGACAATAAAGGAATCTGCCGACCATGCTGGAGACCCAGGTTCAATTCCTGGCAGGAAGATCCCCTGGAGAAGGGAATGGCTAACCACCCCAGATTCTTGCCTAGAGAATCCCATGGGCAGAGAAGCCTGGTGGGCTACAGCCCATGGCGTTGCAAGAGAGTCAGACACGACTGAATGTCTAACACTTTTTCAATCTAATATTTAAATATTCTGGGAGAATTGGATTTGAAAGACCCCTATGCCAAATATTTTTAAGTAAAGAATGACTTTCTAATTTCAATATTTCCCTTCTAGTTCTTATTTTATCATTAATTCTTAATCTGGATCATCTGGTATCACATTTTGTTTCCTGTAAAGTAGATAAGAGTTCCACACTGAAGAGTGAAGAAATGGACCTCTTTTCAGAAAAAAATTAGGAACTTTATAATATTTCTACCAAATTTCGCTCTCATACATTTGATTCCATCTTTTTTTCCTAAATTGATTGCTGGTAAATCTCCAGTGGCAAAAAGCAAAAGGCATTTTTTCCCTTTAAAAGCTCCATGACATTTAATATTCACAGGGTGGCATTAAACTAAGTGTTTAATTTGAGAGCCATACAATTATAAAGAATAATTAACTATGATAATATATTCTCTGATTACCACTTCATTTTTCAACTTACGATTTCCACGCTACATTTTGAATCAGGCACACAATCGGGACTATGAAAAAACCCAGCCAAAAGTGTGGACACATCAGAGCCATATTGACCTGTGAATAAGCAGAGATAAGGGACATTTAAATAAGAACCTTTTAGTTTGCTGACAATGAGTACGAAGAGCAGCTTTTAGTTTCCTCCCCTCCACAAAAAAAACAACTTGGAGATGTCAGGAAAGGTACGGATATGAATCCATATGACTGCAGTCATATGAATCTAGAACTACTAAATCAGTTAAATAAACAGGTATATAAAGCCTAAATATGGTATTAACTAACTTAATTTAATACCTTCATTGAAACGTTTAAAATGCAAAAGAGAATCTTGAAAGCAGCAAGAGAAAAGTAAATCACCACATACAAGGATCCTCAGTGAGATCACTAGCAGATTTCTCATCAGAAACACTAATCAGGCCAGAAGACATTGGGTCCATAAGTTTAAAGTGCTAAAAGAAAAATGCTATCAAACAGAAACCCAGTTTCTGGCAACACTGTCTTTCGAAAGTGAGAGGGAGAGATTTAGAGCACACTCACCTGTCCTGTCATCTCAGGAGCAACAGCAACAGTGGGCCAGAGGGAGGAGTAAACAGCAAAAAACCCCAGCCAGATCATTATGCTGCCCCAAATGGCGAAATGGGTAAACTGCAGGCAGAAGAGGAGCGGAAATATTTCAGCCTCCTCTATTTAAAAGGACATTTTTAGAAACTCTATTAATCAGCTATCAAAATCCATTTGTCCAAACCATAAGTTCTCATATGAAGAAGTTGATCATTTTTCAGCTGTTGGTATTTGAGACTTCCTAACATCTTTCTCAGAATACTTTGCTATGAACTCAAGGCACCGTTGTATGGCAAGTATCAAAAACAACTGTGCCTTGTTCGCCCAACCCAAGTGGTGTTCAGAGTCTTCAGCAAAAAGACCAACTCTCAATAGATGTGGTTCATTACAATTGCTGGGTGATTTAATGAGACTTGGGCTTCTGTCTGTTTATTAATACAAAGTTCTTTACAGTAAAAAAAAATTTAAATACAAATCTTGAGAGATAAAAATTTGAATGTATCATACTTGCTCCATATGAATAACTATGGAACAATGGCAGAAGTTGTGATCCTTAGACTGACCGGAACTGGTAGGTTTTGTGTACCTATCAACTGTGTATGCCATTCTGGCTGAGACTACAACTTAAGTACCACTGACCAGGCCTGAGTCTGGGAACTGATACCAGATTCTCCAATGATAGGTGCTAAAGCAGTAGACCATTCTGTGGATCTGTAATCTGTTGCTTTGAGCAGTTGGTGTTAGCAGGAGAATAGTGAGGAAAACGACTAGGAGACCTGTGTTCTATCCTTGGCCACAGTGGGTACACCACTTAAACTGAGCAGGCCCAAGATGTATTATCTATACATAATAAGGCAACTGGCTAGACTAGATCAAGTGTTCTTATCCTAATTGTTTTTGTTTAGTTGCCAAGTTGTGTTCGACTCTTTGAGACCCTGTATACTGTAGCCCACCAGGTTCTTCTGTCCATGGGATTTCCCAAGCAAGAAGTGGATTGCAATTTTCTGCTCCAGGGGATCTTCCCGACTTGGGAATTGAACTTGTGTCTCCTGTGTCTCCTGGATTGGCAGGATTCTTTACCACTGAGCCACCTGGGAAGCCCTCTTATCCTAATAGGATTTTGGTTCTTTTCCTTAATATTTTGTTCAGAGATGACTAAGTAATGAGCTGTATACTGAACAAAAACTATAGAGAAAAAACCCCAAATCTGCTACTTCTCCGAGTATATATTATTTGCTTAGGAGTCATTTTCAAAGGCACTTTTTCACACTCCTTAAAAATAGCCTCTAACCCAAACAATTCTTTCTCTGATTAGAGTAAACAGAACTGGTCTCTTGAGGACTCTGTCTCATGATAACACAGATGATGGAGAAGAGGATCAGTTTGAAGCTATGAACTTCAAACTCTCCAGAACTGCAGTGAGTTTTCCTGTAAGAGTTCCCTTAGAGTCGGCATCATGCATCATATGCAATGTGAGGTATTCTGTGTGGCTTCGAGAGTATTTTCGGACGGGTCTCTGTTGGGATCATCACCTTCTGGGGGCAGCCAGCCCCCACTGCTGCTTAGAGTTGTGTTCTGTGTCTCTCTGCCCTTGCTCGCCTTCTGCACCTGATCGGTGGCTTCCAGCATCACCCTCCTCCCCAGTGAAGACACCGCCTCCTCAGCCCTCCCCAGAGGCAGGGCAGCATCAGCACAAAGGTGAGAAACAAGCCCTTCTCTCTCATGCCTCCATCACCACTCCTTCTTAGCCCCCAGGTGAGCTGGAAGGCAGGAGCCCAATCCATCTTAGGCCAGAAGAGACACCTCGTGTAGTTCTAAGTGTGCTTTGGCCTTAAACTATTGCCTTATTCACAAATGAGGTTCAGTATATGCAGATGACAGAAGCGGTCTATGCTCCATGAATATGGTATAATACAATTAGATTGCCTTATAATTTGTAATAAAATGTTTTTTCTCATAACTCCTTGGTTCCAAATTAGTGTTGGGGTCCAGTAGGGATGGTGACAGTCAGAACTCTGAATTAATTGCATCAGAGAAGGAATATATCATAGGCTGCATCAACTTAGTTCTTCAAAAGTGACAAACACATAAAAATTCATTTTCTCTCAGAAACTTTTTGAGTACAACTTGAGACACAACTTATTTATAGATGTAAATATGTATGTGCAGGTACACATACAATTTATTTAAGCTATTGATGTCATAAAAACTAAAATTCTGCTTAATTTATCAGAAATTACACTTGTAATAGTATCCTGAGGAAATTGTTACTCATATCTGTAAGTACATCCATATTGATAACAGTATTGATTATATATCATTTACAGTAACTAAAGTTAAAATAACTTTCTAAAAATAATGCAAAAATTTTTAATAAATAAAGTAATACAAATAACAAGCACCCATGTGCTGAAACATCATTCCATCAATTAATAAGGCATAAAAATTAAAAATTTGGAAAAATATTAAAGATCTGTCATTAAGTAAAAAAAAGCAACTTGTAAAATATTAGGTACATTATAATCCTGTTTTTATAGAGGGGTGGGGGGAGACTACATAGAACAAAGACAAAGAAGAAGCCAAAATGTTAACATCATTGACACCAAAAGGAATAAGCAATATGTATTCCTGTACATATTTTTTCTGTATTTGCTAAATTCTCTCTTATCATTCTGTACTTGGATAATAGTGAATTAAGGGTCTCAATTAATGTCATGATAAATTGAATCTGTTTCAAACGTATGGCAGGAAAATGAATATTTGACAGCCATTAGATGACTAATACGCCTTTCCTCTGGTTCAAATCATCATTCAAACATGTAACACAAGAAGTAAAATGTGGAGACCAGGAAAAAAATGCTCATTACTTTTCTGAAGCTGAAGAAGGACATCAGCGTGCCAACAACTATACTAGATTGAGGAAATATCTTAACAAATACTCACTTTATTCCAAGACAGCGTCTCCAAACCAGCTTTCAGACAAACAGTGACAACAACATACTGTGCAAGGCGCCAGGTGCAATGGGAAGGGAAAGAGATTGGAGAAAAAGTGTTAAAACTTTCCATCAGAATCTGCACATCAACACCTGCTTCCTGACACTCACCCCATGGCTCTGCACCACGTCTGCTGAGGTGTGATGTCATTAGGTTGCTAAGTGTTTTGCTGCATTTTAATAATGGAGAAAATGCTACACTTTTCAATAAGCGTTCCTTATATGGCAGCTCTGTACCATATGATGAAAATCCTATGCTTATGTTTTCAGCTTTTCTATTTATATTCTTTATGAACAGTGTGGAAGATCTGAGTCAGATTAGAAGTGGATTATAATCTCTTGTGACTGTGCTGACCCTCAAAGCAAAAACTGCAAAACTATCATTTTGCTGACTAGATCAGAAAGTGTGATATGATCACGCCCACTGGCCTTAAACTATGATGGGGAAGCAAATATTTCTATCACTAAATTTCTGCCAACTCTACTGGGGATAAATAGCCAAGGTTTTTCAAGATTCACAATACCCTCTGATCCAGAAATTACACTTCTGGAAATTTATCCTAAGATATAGTTAGTCACGGGCATAAAGAATCATCTTTGCAGCATTGTTCATAGTGGCAAAGGATCCCAAACAACCTTCACATCCACTAACTGGAGACTAGTTGAATAAATAATGGTGAGTTATCTACACAAGCAGCCCTGAAAGGTAGACTTTCACGGGCTGATTTGAAGCCATCACCAAGGCAAGTTATGTAATGACAAGACACAGAAGAGCACCCCCTGCATGAACAACAGCAAATGTATATGCATTTCACATTTCTAGAAACATAAATAATGCAACCATTATAACAGTGCCTTCTTGAAAATCACTACTGTCACTAACGCTTTAATTGTTTCACTAAACACTAGGAAAAGCGATAATCTACATGGATGATCTTACCGTATATATAAAATTTCCAAGAAACAAATAGTCTGTAGTGTAACCACCTTGTGAGACCATATCTGAAAAGTGAAAAAGTTATTTTTTAATCTTTATAGAGTCTGAAACATAGATTTTTTAAATTTATTTTTACTAAAGGTACCCATACTGGACACCAAAACTGTTTATCCATTATTGATCACATTTCTCAAGTGCTCTGTCAGTGACAACAATGCCTACTTTGCCTACTACAATTGTGATGTTTTTTCCTCTTCTTACATCCTCCAAAGATAGACTTAGAAACAAATAAATAAATTGCAAGGAGTACATGAATGTGATTATTAAACCTAGTGTCACATGCATCTAAACCATCTAGCAGAATCTATAATTAAAAGGCCAGGGACTTCCCTGGTTGTCCAGTGGCTAAGACTTTGTACTTCCAATGCATGGGGCCAGGTTCAAGTCCTGGTCGGGGAACTAGATCCCACATGCCACAACTAAGACCCAGTGAAGCCAAATAAATAAATAGATAAGAAAAAATATTTTTTAAGAAAAAGGAAATTTTTTAAAAACAATCCAATTAGTGACGCCAAGTAGCAAGACAAGGATTTTAAGGGTTTTTGTCATCACATTTTTCACACTATTTCTTCTCCAGGATAACTAAAATAATAAACCTAACAGATAAAGTTAAAATAGAATTTCATATACTTTTTAACTATTCTTAAATCTGCTGTAAACTTACAAATTTCATTCTAAAGGGTCAATATTATCTCAAGATTAGGATAATTTCTTAAGATCTTCTTTACACTTTTAAAAATTCTCAATAAATATTGGTGGACCTGGTCCTGGTTGATATAGAAATTTTTAAGTGCAAATCCCTGACCCTTAACCCCAATTCAGGTAGCACACCCATATATTTGAGGCTCACTTATTTTCCTGGTTTATGTTTTCTCCTGATTTAGAACTCACTAAAACATGCAATGTCTACTCAGTCGCTCAGTCATGTCCGACTCTTTGCAAGCCTTTGGACTGTAGCCTGGGCTCCTCTGGTAGTGCCAGTGGTAAGAACTTGCCTGCCAGTGCAGGAGACGCAGGAGAAGCCGGTTCCATCCCTGGGTCGGGAAGATCCCTTGGAGAAGGAAATGACAACCCATTCCAGTATTCTTGCCTGGAGAATACCATGGACAAAGCAGCCTGGCCGGTTGCAGTCAATCAGTGCACAAAGAATCAGACATGCTGAGGACACATGCAACGTGTATGAAGTTGTATATCGTGGTTTCAATTTTTTTTTGTTTAAATATTAATGATGTTGAGCATGTATTTATTAGTTATTTGTCTGTGTTCTCTGGTAAATGTCTATTAAAATCCTTTGTACATTTTAAAAAATTGGGTCATTTGTCTTTTTACGTTGAGTTATAAATCTTCTCTATATACTCTGGATACAAATCTTTTGTTATCTGTAACTTGTGTATCCTTTGCTCCATTCTGTAGATTGCATTTTCACTTTCAGCTAATTTGACACTTTCCAGCTATTATTTTCTTGAATAACTTTTTTTTCTGCTTCATTGGTTTTCTCCTCTTGTTCTGGTATACCCACTGTGCTTCTGTTGGAGTGCTGAAAGGCACCTCACATTCTCTAATGCTCTGTTAATCTCTGGTCTTCAAATTGTGCTGTGTTAAGTCACTTCAGTATTGTCCAACTCTTTGGACCCTATGGACTGTAGTCCAGCAAGAATACTGGAGTTGATGGACATGCCCTCCTCCAGTGGATCTTCCCAATTCAGGGATTGAACCCACGCCTCTTACATTTCCTGCATGGACAGGTGGGTTCTTTACCACTAGCACTGCCTGTCCCTTATTATCTATTGGTCTAACTTCAAGTTTGCTAATCCTGTTTTCTTCCAGTTCAAATCTACTGTTGAGCCTCTCTAACACATTTTTCGAGTTTTTGGTACTTTTCAACTCCAGGGTTTTCATTCAGTTCTGTATCTATCTCTTTCCCTGGTTCTCTCTGGCAAATCAGTTGGCCTATGACTTAGCTTGTTGCTAATGAAGAAGGGCTACTGTTTTTGAGAGTATCCTTAGACTTGAACTTTCCCCCACTTTGTTTTGAATAGTCATCTTATTTGGGAAAGAGTTTTGGAGCTCTTTTTTACTACTGGTAAAATCTTAGACCCAGTACTTTTGTGCTAGTGGTCTAGCACAAGCCACCAGTCTTCTTGGGCTTGACTCTCCCAGAAATTCCCTGCCCTATGAGTGAGTTGTGATGAGAGTGACCAGGGCCCCAGTGTTCTTGGCCTGTCATGCATGGGGTAGAAACTCTATCCCGTGAATGTTAGTTGCCTGGGGGAAAGGGAGCTCTATCTCGGCCACACCCATCAGAAATTTGGTCTCTTCAGAGTTGGAGGGATGAGAAATGCTGGTGGGCTGCCCTTCCTGTGAGATGGGAACCCTTGACTGAGAGCTGACAGGAGCAGTAGTCCCATATTCCTGTCCACACCTGCTTGGAGTGGACCTTTCATCCGGCCAGGCTACCGTGGGGAAGGGAGGGAGAGGGTCATGGCTCAAGTGATGCAGGCTCTTGATGCTCTTACTGAGTTACTTAGTAGACTGATAATCTTCCTTGCCTTTTGGATAATTTTCAGAGAATTTACATAGTTGTGTTTTTATAGTTTTGCAGCTTTGGTTTTTTGAGGGTGAGGAGCACATCCAAGCAGCTCTTCACACTATCATTCTGAAAGTGGAACTAACTCTTTGTCAGCGTGTTACTTTGCTATATTATTATCACTTGAAAATTTTGCTCATTTTTTTTTCTCATTTGTTTTATAAGGAATGCCCTTAGCAATATAATGGCAGATTTATTTTTTTTAAATACAAATGGACATAAACACACACAACCAAGGCTCAATTAAACAAAATATATGCCTAAGATTAGGACAAGTTGCTAGTACTATCCAATAAAAATTAGATCTGGTTAAAGGAAAATAATTATATTTCACACCTTAATTTGTGGCTATGAGCCCATTACACATCAGTAACACACTTCATAAATATATCCCCTACTTCTGGATCTATTTATACACAAACCAGTTTGGCAAAAAAGTTCAAGCATAATGTTATTTGGAAAACTGTATGTCCAGAAAAGGAGACCTAGTCCACTAATAAAATATAAGGTTAAATTTCTATATGGCCTGCTGGACTTGTTACAGTTTAAATTGAAGTGTAAAGTTTGAGAAATGAAAGCAATAAATATAGTAGACAAAAGTTTCAAACTCACTAACAGAGGGAACCTATGATTCAGTAGAACTGTTGTGCTTTCTACCAGACATCCTGACTCAAATATTTATTAAAAATTAACAATAAAAGCACCAAGTTACAATTTATACATATCAGAAGCAAGGAGAATGGGCTCTAAAGGCCATCTGTTAAATGTTCAAACTACAATCTGTTAACCAGATTATACTATTAGTTTAGGTGAATATATATAAACCTATATTTTTAATCCTACTTTTACTTTCTTCAGTTCTATCTGTAGACACACACACACACTGAAAACAATGAAGTTACTACCATGCTCCAGCATTTTTGCAGGCAACCAGAAGAGAATGAATGAATGGACAATAGCATTTATACTTTGAATCCAAAGCACCTAAAAGAAAACAAAGCAAGGAAATCAAGATAGTATCCAGGTCTAACTCTAAAAATATGTTATAAAGTTATGTTATATGTTATAAAGTTTATTTGCTGTGTGAAACACAGTTACAAAGCTAAAATGTCTTCCTGGAGACTAAAAATTTCCATGTCTTTAGTCTCCTTTTAAAAGAAATGACTGTGAAATTATAGGATAATATCATTTGAAAAACAAATTTAATAAATATAAATATGTAGACTTCAAAGATAATGTATTTATTATGAAAACATATAAAGGTTTTAATAATCTAACAAAAAAGAACTAATCTAAAGAAATAACTAAAAAATACTTTCAATCTTTAAATTATAGTATTTAAAATATAATTTAATATCATATTTTATATGATACACCCTGTACTTTTATATCTATACCCTGACTGTGGTCAAAATAATGTTTAATATACCATATACAGGCATACCTCAGAGATATTGCAGATTTGATTCCAGACCACCACCATAAAGCAAATATCATAATAAAGCAAGTCACGTGATTTTTTTAGTTTCCCAGTATATATAAAAATTATGTTTACACTATACACAGTCTATTAAGTGTGCATTGTCTAAAAATCATGTATACACATCAATGAAAATGCTAGCCATCATCTGACAATACAGGTTTGCCACTAAAGTTCAATTTGTAAAAGAAAAAAAAATAGTATCTGCAAAGCACAATAAAATAAGGTATGCCTGCACAATTTTCTTAAAGGATATCTCAATAATATAATATCTCTGGAATCAATCAAAGAAGGGTGCACATGGTTAGATATGACAGAAAAGTAACAAAAACAATTCTTTGTTCATTCAATTCTAAATACACCAATTTTTTTTTTCATGCTTGCGGGAAGACTTACAGATAAGGGAGTAGAGAAGAAAAAAAAGAGTATGGGAAAAACATCTTTGGCCTGCAACTAAAATTTCCTGGAGTAAGCACAGTACAGCACAAAGCAGTTTTTAGGGAAGAAGCTGGTTCAGACACAAAGCTAATGCCAGACTGGAAAACCTCAGGATTCACGGAACCTTGGGTAGAATACAAAGAAATACGGCATAGGGCGGCATTCCTTGTGTTTTTTTTAATTATTTTTCCTAAAGCATTAAAAAGGAAAGAGACAAAAGTACCTTTTGGAGGGAAGTTGAAAGATCTGCAATAACCTTCTGCTTACCTTTATGTTGAAAATATCCCCTGTCTGAGAAATTCTGTAGAGTTGTGGGTACCTGAGCAGGCTCTCCTGACTACAACACCGTTCAAAGATTCCGAGAGTAAAGGGTGGCAGTGATGTGAAAATCTACATAGGAAACAAGAACCTATCAAAAAGAGCTTTCAGTCTATATCTGAGTGAGTACTGAGCCAATGTCATTTTCCTGGCTTTGATAACGTATTGCAATTACTAAGGTATCATTGTGCGGGAAGCTGGCTGAGACGCCTGGTGGTTGTTGTTTAGTCCCTTCTGTTGTGTCCAACTCTTTAGAAACCCCATGGACTGTAGCCTGCCAGGCTCCTCTGTCCATGGAATCCTCCAGGCAGTAGTAATGGAATGGGTTGTCATTCCCTTCTCCAGGGGATCTTCCCAACCCAGGAATCGAACCCAAGTCTCTTACACCTACTGCATTAGCAGGCAGGATCTTTACCTCTAGCACCACCCGGGAAGCCCTTATTATGGGACTAAATCATCCTTATTGTTAAAAGTAAGGATTTTCCCCAATATCTTGTGAAATAGGTCTTCCCCAACAGGCTAATGGGAATACAAACTGTTCCTAGCCCTGAGCAAGCTCCAGAAATCCAGCCCGCTGCTTTCCAGTGGCTTCCCTGGTGGCAGATGGTAAAGAATCTGCCTGCAATGCGGGAGACCTGCGTTTCCCTTAGCTCTGAGTATACTTCTCTCATGCACATACAGATAAATCCTCAACCAGAGGCTCAAGGGAACAGCTGCCCACTTCCAGAAACACTGTGTCTCCGTATTTCTCTGTGTTTGCAACTCTTTCCCTCTCTCCATTTCTCAGTACAGTTTGCACATCTCTGATCTTCTGTCTGGCAAATTCTAGTTTTCTTGGCCCACTGAACTCCACCCTCTGTGTATTCATTTCAGTAAGACAGCTGGGCTCCCCTGTGGGCCCATCTTCCTTCACTTTGGCCTATAAACAGGCCTGCTCTTGAGATCATGGCAATGAGCAGCCTGGCATCTAGTGCCTGAAAACTATTGTTTCATAGATCTTTTCTGCTATTCTAGTTTTTTCTGTAGGAGGGTAATTCCTATAGCAATTAGACATGCATGAGCAGTAGCAGAAATAATATATAACCTCTAGAATTAGCATGACAACTCATATAAATTAAGTTATCAAATAAGTAGACAGAGTCCATCTCTGGCATGGCCAGTAACTATTATTTGGAATGTCCTGGTCTTCATTTTTTTTTCACCTGTAAAATATACTTGTAATGGGATGAAAGTTAATAAGTCAATGGATATTCAATAAGCATGTCATCATATTTTATCCTCAATTGTCCATAATTATTTAAATTTTCCACTGGAGTTCCAGTTGGCAAGATTCCACTGGTCAATAGCTGTGGTTTATGTATTCATAGGGATTGTTCTCACCCAGAGGAGAGACTCTGCCACTACTCCTGTCTCTAATGAAACGTCAAAGAAAGTTTATCAGTATTGTCCTGTGTGACCAAGTGCCTGGCAGAGACAACTCTACACAGGACCCAAGCTTCCCTGGTGTAGTGCTCTGACCAAATACACCCAGCCACTGGCACTCACATGACTGTAAATATGCATAGCAGTCATTGAGCACCCAATGACTTCTATTCAGTAACTTCAGTCTGTTCTGGAATTTCAGCTCCCAGAAGAGAGACCTTTAGGAGTGAGCACACAAAGCATGCAGAGTATAAGGTCACTGCAATAACACAGTGCACAAGAGAGGTCATGGGATACTTGCTGGGAGCCTCATTTTTATGTTACATTTCCTAACTTCTAACCCTTTGGTGGAATCATAATACAAAAAAAAAAAAAAAAAGCAAAAATTAAAAGGGCATGAGGGTAAAAAGCCACTTAGTCTTACTGTTTAATAAATATCTAGTTTTTTAATTCAAAATAATTCAAGTAATGGTATGTGACTATTTATTATTAGAGGATTCCATTAAAATGGAAAACTGTATTTACTATAGGCTTGACATAAAAATTCAGCATTTAATACAAGCACAGCATGTTCTATTTCCACAAATACAAATTTTCTACCAAGAGGCTTAAGAGGACATGGAATTATACTATAAACACACATACATACACACAGACACAAAGAGAGATAAATCTAAATTACGTGTATTAAATAAAATGGGTTTACGAAGAGTTCAGCAATTTTTACTTGGCTTAAAAATATGAAAATGTTGTACAGGCAGAGTTAGAAAGATTCTGAAATATCAATATTACAAAAAATACATTGCATATAAATGTTGTGTGCACACTTGCTAAGTCTCTAGTTGTGTCCAACTCTTTGCAACCCATGCACTGTGACCCACCAGGCTCCTCTGTCCATGGGGATTCTCCACGCAAGAATACTGGAGTGGGTTATCATGCCCTCCTCCAGGGGATCCTCCCGACCCAGGGATCGAACCCATGTCTCTTACATCTCTTGCACTGGCAGGCTGATTCTTTACTACTAGCACCGCCTGGGAAATATCATGTAGTTACTAGAAAATGATCTGCGATGATTGAAACCATGTGTGGGGAGTTTGTGCTTCTGCAGGATGTGTGGCCCTAAAGATGTATGTGAGCCATGGATGCAGATGAAGGACTTAGCTCCGAGTCCCAGACACAAAGAGCGCAGCCCCACATGCCATCAGAGAGAGAGGGAGAGTGCTTACTTACCACATTGTACAAGCTGATGCACCAACGTTCAAATATAATCTGCCCAGAAAATCCATTAACAATGGCGAACCAAAGCTGAAAGAGAAGGAAGCCAAGTGCGCCGCTATGTCAGTGCTGACCTACATACACTCGTATAGTAAAGTCACTCTGGAAAACAGTTTGGTCCTCTCCTTTAAGACTAAACACACACTTACCATACAATTCAGCAAGTGTACACTTGGACACTCACCTTAAATAAGTGAAAACTTGTGTTTACACATAAACCTATGCACATGTCCATAGCAACTTTATTCATGATGGCTCCAAACTGGAACCAACCTAAACGTCCTTCGACAAGTGAATAGCAAACAAGCGATAGCCACCTATGCCATGGAATACTACACAGCAACCAAGAGGGAAGATGATTGCCCATGCAGCAACTTGGATGGATCTGAAAGGAATTATACTGAGTGAAAAAAATCCAGCCTCAAAAGTTACACGGTGTATGATTGCACTTTTAGAGAAATCTTGAAAGAACTCCGTTACAGGAAAAGAGAATAGATGAGCTACTACAGGGGATCAGGTGGGTGTGAATATAAAGGGTAGCATGAGGCAGATCCTGTGGTGATGAGGCGAGTTTGCATCTTTTATTGGAACAGGTCTGTATCTTGAATACTCTGGTAGTTACATGAGTCTACACAGGGATAAAAGGTTACAGTGACACACACACACACACACACACACACACACACACGTGCATGTAAAGCTGATGAAATCTGAATAAGTTCTGAATGAGTTGTACCAATATCAGTTTCCTGGTTTCATATTATCCTATGGTTTTATATAAGGTGCTATCTTTGGGAGAAACTCGGTGAAGGGTTCACAAGAACTCTGGTAAATATTTTACATAACTTCTTGTGAATCTATAATTATTTCAAAATAAAATATTTAAAAATGTATTTCCACAGGCAAATTTAAAGCTTACACAGATATTTTTAACGTTAGGATGGTAGTTACAAGATTCACTCCCATATTTTGGCTACTGTAAATAACGTGCCCATCAACAGATGAATAGATACAGAAGGTGTGGTATGTGTACACAATGAGATATTACTCAACCATAAAAAAGAAAGTGATTCTGTCATTTGCAACAACATGGATGGGCCTAGAAAGCATTATGCTAAGTGAAATGTCAGACAGAGAAAGACAAATACTCTATGTTATCACTTATGCGTGGAATCTAAAAAAGACAACAAACTAGTGACTATAACAAAAAGGAAGCAGACCCACAGGTATAGAGAACAAACTGGTGGTTACCAGTGGGGAGAGGCAAGTCGGGAGGGGTGAGGAAGGGGTATGGGAATAAGAGACACGAACTACCCTGTGTAAAATAACCGTATACACTTGAAATAAATATAATATTGTAAGTCAACCATTAAAATGAATTTTAATCCATTAAACTAATAAATAATAATTTTAAATTAAGTAAGTAGCAAAGATATATTGTTTAGTACAAGGAAACATAGCCATTATTTTAAAATAACTTTAAGTGGAATATAATCTGTAAAAATACTGAATCACTATGTTGTATACCTGAAACTGTAATATTGTGCATCAATGATACTTCAGTAATAAAAGAAAGATTCACCCCAAAACCCCATTACCCTTATATACTACACACTAGAGAAAACATGCTTTCTCAGAGGCAATAAAGGCATGACAAACTTTAAGATTTCATGAAAACTGTAGTCACGGAACTCTTCTTTGGTCCACTTTCAGGAAAACAGGAGGCCCTGCTGCCAGGCGCTCTGCCAGTGCAGGGGACGGGAGCCGGGGTGGGCGGCGGGGCCGGCTGCAGCGTGGGAGCCACAGCTCCACAGTCCCCAGCACGGAAGGAGAGCAGGTACAGGTTCTTTCCATGGTATTTTCTTGACAAGGAAGCAACACTCGTGAAGTTTTCTTGTCCCTGAAAACTTGCTTTAACCACCAGTGCTAAGTACAGCTGAGACAAAAGGAAAGAGCTGGTGTTTGGAAGAAGAAGGCCCATCCCGGCCCCTAGTGGGATGTTAGGAAGACAGCAACCGCCTTGGGACCAGATTTCCAGCGTCAGGAGGAAAACAGTTCAAAAGCACAGAGATTTCTGATGCCTCTGATCACGAGAAGGATCTGGAGCTGGCAGAGACACACTTTGGTTCCAAATAGGACGTTCTTTTTTTTTTAAACAACAGATTATGTCAGTAAGTCATCATGATGTTGGACATATTTTGCTTGCCGTTTTTTATTAAATTGATTTTATGTGAGCCACAACTTATGTAACAGCATTATGTGACATTACTTATTGAGATAAATAAGGAAAACACTAAACTATCAAGCTCTACATTAAAGACAAGACCTCACACCTCAAGGAAAGAAAGCATTCCTTACCTCAATGATGTATAACACGACATTCTTATAGAAGCAATACAGTATGCATTTGGTCACTCGAAAATAATTCCAAGCTCCATGAACCAACAGAAGTTTCTCCAAGTAGCTAAACTAAAAGACAGAAATAACAATCAATGAAGTTCAAAGGAACCTACCACTTAGTGACAAACCCCACAAAACGTCATTTTCCCAGGGTTTGCACCTCAGCAGTTCCCACTCCACAGCACAGAAACAGAATGAAACCTACTCCCAGACAACCTGACGGGACTCTTCACTATAAAGGAGTTTTTCAGATCTCTGTGAAATTAACTTTTCTTATTATTAGAATAAATAAATAAACATCACTTTCCTGCCCAGCAAATCCTGCTTATATTTTCACTTGTCACAAGAAGGCTTAGAAGTTGATCTGATCCACATCTAGGACCTTAATTGTGAGAAGGGACTCAGAATTACTTAATGAAATAAGATCCTGGAAGCAAGAACATCAGTCACTGATTTTTCTGTCTGAGCAGGTGCAGGTAACAAAGTCTTACAGGAATCAGTTCCCCCCATTTCCTATAGTAAATATATAAAGAGAAAAATTAAGTTTAAAAGGAGGTAATGTGTGATTTCTGCAGCACCCCTCAGCTGTTTTCCCTCATCTGGATTTTCCTTTTCCGTAACACTTAACATCTTCAAACTAAGTGAGGAACATGCCTAGGGTGTGAGAGGCACTCAATAAACATTTTTTTTAGGATGAAAGAATATTCAGAAGCATTATTCCACAAAACAAGGCAATTTAGTAATTTAGTGACTATGAAAATTAAATACTGACTTTAGAGTGACATAAGTTTCTATATATTAGGGGGAAAAAAACCCAGCTTTTCAAAAAAGACTGCTCAAGAGTTTCAAACAGGATGGTCAGGATGGGGAGGGACATGACGAGTCATAAACGAGTCAGACACTGAAACAAGTACTATGGTTTTTCCGGTAGTCATGTACATATGTGAGAACTGGACCATGAAGAAGGCTGAGCACCCAAGAAATGATGCTTTTGAGCTGTGGTGCTGGAGAAGACTCTTGAGAGTCCCTTGGACAGCAAGGAGATCAAACCAGTCAATCCTATAGGACATCAATCCTGAATATTCATTGGAAGGACTGATACTGAAGCTGAAGCTTCAACACTTTGGCCACCTGATGGGAAGAGCCAGCTCATTGGAAAGACCCTGATGCTTGGAAAGACTGAGGGCAAGAGGAGCAGGAGGCAACCGAGGATGAGATGGTTGAAGGGCATCACTGACCCAGTGGACATGAATTTGAGCAAACTCTGGGAGATAGTGAAGGACAGGGAAGCCTGATGTGCTGCAGTCCAGGGAGTCACAAAGAGTCAGACATGACTTGGCCACTGAACAACAACTTAAAAAGAAAGGGTTTCCCAGGGGGTCAGTGGTAAAGAATCTGCCTGTAATTCAGGAGAAGCCGGAGACACGGATTTGATCCCTGGGTCAGGAAGATTCCTTGGAGGAGGAAATGGCAACCCACTACAGTATTCTTGCCTGGGAAATCCCATGGATAGAGGAACCTGGAGGGTTACAGTTATGGGGTCGCAAAGAGTCAGACACAACTGAGCAGACATACAAGGTAAAGTACAGTGTTAAGAGATGCACAATTGGATAAATTGTAAAGACAAAGAGGAACTTTAAGATGCATAAAACTACGTGAAAGGAGCCAGTGTGAAAAGACTACTGTGTGATTCTAACTATATGGCTTCATGGAAAAGGCAAAACTACGGAAACAGTAAAAAGATCAGTGGTTTCCAAGAGTCATGGCGAAGGGTGGAGATGAAGAGGTGAGGGTTTTAGGGAAGTGAGGCTGCTCTGTGTGATACTATAATGGTGGATACGTGTCATTGTTCATTTGTCCAGACCCACAGAATGTACAACACAAGGAAAAATCCTAGTGTAAACTGTGGGCCTTGGGTGATAATGACTGTCCTGTAGGTTCATCAGTTATAACACATGAACTGCTCTGGTAAAGGATGTTGCTAACAGGGAAGGCTGAGGGGGTGGGGGCTGGGGGTGCAGGAATTACCTATACTTTCTGTTCCATTTTGCTGTGACGCTAAAACTGCTCTAAATAAACAAAGTTGAATTTTTTTAAGTGCCTGCCAAAAGGCAGTAGTATCTCCTTAATAAAAAGTGAGGGGGGTGGTGGATAGGACTATTTTAAGTCTTTATCAAGAGATACCACAAAGCAAAGCGCACACAGACTGGAGAGACTGGGGACCTAGAGGCTATAGGAGCAGAACTACAGATTCTTAGTGGCAGCAGTTTTGAAAATTTCAAAGCTGGAAACGGGAGGCCTTTACTGCTGCAAGGGCTTCTCAGGTGGCGTTAGTGGTAAAGAACCTGCCTGTCAATGCAGGAGACGTAAGATATGTGGGTTCGATCCCTGGGTTGGGAAGAGCCCCAGGAGAAGGGCAAGGTAACCCATTCTAGTATTCTTGCCTGGAGAACCCCATGGACAGAGGAGCCCGGCAGGCTACAGTCTAGATGGTCCCAAAGAGTCAGACACAACTGAAGCGACTTAGCATGCATGCATGCATTACTGCTGCAAAATGCATCAGCACAAAACTAAGGAGATAGGGTAGAACCTCTGTATTCTATTATAAGCTAATCACTAAAGGGATCTTGCCCAGAAGTTTAAATTATACATAATGGCCCATCTCTAGGAACCCTGCCTCCCAGGGGAAGCTAAAATACCTATTGGTTCAGCTCACAGTCCACCTGTGAATGGCTGCAGGGAGGAAGAAGTTAACACATCCCCCTCCAGAGGTTGACCAGAACCAGGACTTTATCCCCTCCCCTTTTAGTATAAAATAAGCCTAAATTCTGACTCAGGCAAGATGGTTCTCTGGGACACCAGTCCAGCATGTTCTCAGTCTGCTGACTTTCCCAGTAAAGCCACTATTTCTTGCCCTAACAACTCCTCTCTCCATTTATCAGCCTGTGAGCAGTATAGCCTTCAAACAAGGTACTGATAGTTTCCAACTGAAAGCAGCTTAGAGATCAGGCTAAACCTTGAGGGTAGACCCGAGATCTTCAACACTCCCCATGTCCAGCTGGCCACCCTCACCACTGACCTGAGCAATGGAATAATCAGAGTTGTTGGTGGCCAGCATGCCTTCATTCCCACTGATGCCCACACCCACATGGGCTGTCTGGATCATCCCCACATCGTTGGCACCATCCCCGATGGCCAGGGTGATGGCCTTCACCTGCTTCTTCACCACATCCACTATCTCAGCCTTCTGGAGGGGAGATAACCTGAAAAAGAAAGAAAGAAAGAAAGAAACAACCATGTTTTCTTGTTTTATTTTGGTTCATTTTATTCATCCTGTTCTAAAAGGCTTTACAAAGGAGTCAGCAATAATCCACATACAGTCACATTTAAATGGCAGTTACTGGTAAGTTTTCCAATTCATTAATTAATTTCTTTACAGATACAAGGAAGTCCCTACCCATCACTCATTTATTCACTCAGTCAGGAAGTTAGACACACACTTCTATCAAAAAAAATAAGGGTACACAGGGTTTCATATTCCAGTAAGCTAATGACCTCACTTATTCTCTTCTCTCAAAACAATTCCTAATAACTACTTTAAATTTAACCTTTTCAAACTTCAGGTGAGATTATTATAAACTGAGCAGATAGAAGGTTTCTTTGCATGTTTCTAGTATGTTTCATAACATGCTCCAAAATTTAAGGTAGAAACACAGTTGGGAAAAAAAAAAACCTTAACTTCATAATGAAGAGAATACATTCAGTTAACATCACTACATTGTGGGTATAATATGAACATTTTCTGAAATAGAGATGGTCAGAAACCATTTGTAAGTCTAGTTCTTATCAAGTGACGCTGGTTCTTTTACTGGAATACTTGCACTGATAATAGCTTCACCATTTAGTCTGATGATCACTTTCATGTTTAGATTATGATATTTGTAGAGGGGAAAAAACTAAACAATTTAATTAAACTCAAGTCTGACTCTTCATGTGTTGCATGCTAAGTCATTTCAGTTGTGTCCAACTCTTCGTAACCCTGTGGAGTGTAGCCCACCGGGCTCTTCTGTCCTTGTAACTCTCTAGGAAAGAATACTGGAGTGGTTGCCATGTCCTCCTCCAGGGTATCTTCCCAACTCAGGGATTGAACCCACATCTCTTATATCTCCTGCATTGGCAGGTGAGTTCTTTACCATTAGCATCACCTAAGAGAGCCCCTGACTCTTCATATCTTAATTCAAATCTTAATTCCATCCTCTTGGCAGTCAAATTCTCCACATACCCTCAAGTCCTTCACTCACTCCTTAATGCAGTTCTGCACCCTTTACCAAAGCTCCAAGTCTGTTCTGACCAGTTAAGAAGAGAACTGGATGATCACGATTCTGATTTTGGATCTTCTCACTCATATATGAAAATATAGCCTAAAATAACATTAGTCTTGTAATAACTATCTGTTAACTGAGCAATAGTCAATTAACTCAATAACCACCCACAAATTCATTTTCCTCTAGGTCTCAGTGGTTTGGTTTCAAATTTGCCCCTCCCTGTAAATGACCAGGGCCTTTGTTGTACCTGGACTTCCCTGTGGCTCAGACAGTAAAATGTGTCTGCCTGCAATGTGGGAGATCCAGGTTCAATCCCTGGGTTGGGAAGATCCCCTGGAGAAGGAAATGGCAACCCACTCCAATACCTTTGCCTGGAAAATCCCATGGACGGAGGAGCCTGGTAGGCAACAGTCCATGGGGTCACAAAGAGTCGGACACAACTGAGCGACTTCGATTTCCTTTCCTTTCCTTTCCTTTTGTTGCACCTGAAAGATTTCTTTCACTTAGCCAATACATCAATAAATAACGTACCAAAATAATGTACCACTGAAAAATTATAAACTGCTTTTGAATAAATCTTAAACCTGATAATTAGAATTAAATTCAGACCTTGCATTTCAGTTTGAGTGTATATTTTCCCAGTAAGGTAGTTTGTCTCTGAGAAAAACTTATATTTCCATGTCTATATTTTCTTTCCATTAAAAACTATGAAATATAGCAGGAAAAAAACCAACAGTGAATATATTCTTACCTACAACATAATACTGTTCTGCACGAGAGGGCCAAATTAAGGAAGCACTTCTTAACTTCAACATGGAGGGCATATTTCAATGTTTTACCATCTATGATTAGGGCCAGGTCATTTTCTTTACCTAACAGTGCTCCAAGATCTTGGCAGTTCTGATTAATCACTTGTTGTGTTGCCTTAAACAAAGAGGGGTAAATTATCTTTTACCATTTTTAATATAATTAAAAAGAATTTCTGAGTCAAGATAGTAGATTAAGGCATATGTCTACCTCCTTGTTCCCTTTGAAAATCTCACAGAAATTAAATTTAAAAGTAGATAAATAACATGAAAGGGTGCTTGAGATCATTAGTCATCAGGTAAATGTGAATCAAAACCACAATGAGATACTACTTCATACCCACTAGCATGACTAGAATTAAAAAGCCAGATAATAATGTGTTGATGAGGATGTGAAGAAATCACAGTTCTCATACACTGAAGGTCAGAATGTAAAATGGTGCAGCAACTTGGGAAAATAGTCCAGGAATTCCTCCAAAAACTAAGCACAGAGTTAGTGAATGATCCAACAATTCCACTTATCAGTGTATATACATTCAAGTGAAATGAAAGCATGCCTGAACAAAAATTTATACATGAATGTATAAGCAGCAGCATTATTCATAATTGCCTAGAAGTGGAAATAAGCTGATGAATGGATAAATAAAGTGTATACATACAACGCAATATTCCTTAGCTATTAAAAAAAGATATGAAGTACTATTGCCTGGTACAACATGGATGAACCTTGAAAGCATTACGGTAAGTTAAAAGAAGCCAGTCACAAAAGACCGCCTGTTAAATGATTTGATTAACATAAAAGCCCAAAATAAGTAATTCATTGAAACAGAAAGTAGAGGAGTGTTGTTTAGGGGTGGGGCAAGGAGGGTCAGGGAGATGACAGCTAAAGGTACAGAGTTTCTTTTACAGATGACGAAAGGTTTCTAAAATGATTCCGCCATTGAATGCATGTATCTGTAAATACAGGAAAATCCCTTGAATTATATTAAGCAGGTTAATTTTATGCCATGTGAATTACATCTCAATAAAGTTATTTTTGAAAAGGTGTATAAGTAGGAGAATCTTTAGTTGGAAAATATGGAAAAGTGTTCATAGCAAAGAGGAAGTTCAGAGAAATTTTGGGAAAATTTTAAAAGATGGGAACAGAATAATGGGGTGAACTTCCATAAAATTGGGTATCAAGGTTCTAAGAGAGAAGGAAATATGCCCAGAGCGTTCTCCATCGCAAAAGCCTAGCCTCCGAGGTTAAAAACTTTACCAGAGCCTTATCCCACCTGGAGGGAAAGTCATTTACCCAACTCCAGCCCCATGTGGTCTCCTTGTCTCACCTATGGGGAGAAAGAAAGCACTAAGAAACACTTAAGACAAAGGGGTACAGTTTCTCTTGAAGACTGAGATTTAACCTAAGATTATAGAGTTTCCCTGGTGGCTCAGATGGTAAAGTGTCTGCCTACAATGCAGGAGACCAGGGTTCAATCCCTGGGTCAGGAAGATCTCCTGGAGAAGGCAATGGCAACCCACTCCAGTATTCTTGCCTGGGGAATTGCATGGACGGGGGAACCTGGTAGGCTATAGTCCATGGGGTAGTAAAGAGTTGGACACGACTTCACTTCCTTCACTATAGAACACTTCCCTGCCCACATACCTTACCACCACCCCCAATGGGCTGTAAAAACACTGTGAAAAACACTGTAACAGAAATGAAAAATATCTTTTATGGACTCAACAGTAGACTGGACACAGGTGAGGAAAGAATTAATGAACTTGAAGAAATTTCAATAGAAACTTCCTAAACTGAAGCTCAAAGAGGAAAAGAAGAGAAAAAAAACAGAACAGAATATTTTAAAACTGTGAGACCATTCTAAAGATCTAGCATACAAGCACCTGCAATACCAGAAAGAAAAGAAACAGAGGACAGAAGGAAAAGTTTGAGTGCTAATAACTGAGAATACTCCAAAATAAATTACAGACACAAAACATAGACCCAGGAAGTTCAGAAGACACCAAACAAGGTAAATGCCAAAAATCTACACCCAGGCATATCAAAATAAAACTGCATAAAACCAAAGGCAAAGAGGAAATCTTACAAGAATCCAGAGTGGAGGGAATACCTTACCCGTAGAGGAATGAAGATAAATAACAGACTTCTCGGCAGAAAGCTTGCAGCCAAAAAGAAAGTAAAGTAAAACATTTAAAGTATTGAAAGAACAAGAAATCCCAACCTCAAATTCTATATCCAAGGAAATTATCTTTCGAAGTGAAAGAGAAATAAAGACCTTCTCAAACAAAAACTGAGAAAACTCCTCACCAGCAGACTTGCTCTGTAAGAAATATTTGTAAAGGTTTTTCACAGAGAAGAATAATGATCCCTGTTGGAAACTCAGATCTACATTTTTTAAAAAAGGAAGTGTGTCAGAAAAGGAATAAATGAAATCTATTTAAAATTATTTAAAAATGAGTCTAAGAAAATTATACAGTAAAAAATACTTTATAGAACTAGCCTTTTAAGGGCAAGGATGCTCAATATTGGATTCCAAATTCCTTTCATTCTTGCAATGTAAATGCATTGATCTTTTCAAACTTTTCATAAATCAGTTTCATGAGAGTTGGAATTTAAATATAAATTTATACAATATCATTTTAATGTTTTCTTTGAAATTTCCTGAAACTTGTGTAGATTTCAAAAACAAAAGTAACTTCCTGGTTTGTATATAATTCAAAATGCCTATATGTATGTATTCTACTGTAGTCAGTACAATTACAAGGAGAAAATAATTTTTCAAGGCTCTTCATTAATTTTTGGTTTATCTGACACTTCCTATGTAACACTTCTCTGTTCTTTTCCATGGAATATGATTATCATTAAATTTCTATTTTGAAACTTGTAGGTATTCGCTTTGTCTTGTTATATTTTTCAAAACTAGAGATACTAAGATTTTCAAAGAATTCTAGTGACTTCCTGACATATTTTATTGTAATTTCCACTTACATTTTCTGATAAGTTACTGGGGTAGTTAACTGCCTGAATGCTGGCAGCTCCTGTCCGAGCAATCAGGTTAGAAATTTAATATTTGTGCAGGTGCTCAGGGACACAAACCAGACATAGACGGGAAAGCCAACTTCCCACCAAGGATCCCGGTGCTGCCCCCATGAGGAGCCCTCTTCCCTGAAGCCACTGCTGCCCGAACTGGCTGAATCCAAACAAAGGCTAAAATGTTTCCATGTATTATGACCAAAATGCAAATCAAATCAGCATGCAAGTTCTGAGTGCTTACTGATACCCAGCTTTATGCTGGGTGCAAAGGAAGATTTACAACAGAATATGTGATAAGCCTCTTAAAACCCAAGGAAGCAAAGCTAACATAAAAGAAAACAAACCACACACACATTCATTGGTAAACCAAATGTAATAGTACATTTGCTGCTAAGGTCAAGAGGCCACAGATTCATGTCGAATCATGTTATCAGAAAACTTTCAGAAGCTAATAGAACTAGAACCTGGTCTAGGAAATATGTTAAAAATGTGTGACAATAAACCTTTGTTTTTATTTCTTGCTGTTGACAAAAACAATCCTAACATATTTGTTCCTGAAAGTAAGCCTCCTGCTAAATTCTTAGCCAAATTTTGTTTGAAACCGGGGTCAAGACTATATGTAGCCTTTTAACTGTACCATGTTAGCCAACTTTAGCTCCTGGAGAGATGATGGTAGTTAAAACTGCCACAGTATTCATAAAGGCAGGAGCTAACATCTGTGAAGCCCTCACTCTATCTAATACACCAGCTTAGAAAAACCTTCACGGACTCCCTTCCACATAATCATCACAATCAGCAGACGTGTATTGCAACCGTTTTAATAATGAGAAAACTGAGGGTTAGAAAAGCCCACAAAGGCACGGGCTCATAAATATAGAGACAGAAGATTCAGGTTCAAACCTTGGTCTTTATAACTCTGAAGCTTGACTTTTCAACCACCATGCTTGCTCTGCATTTCTCTTCAACGATGTTGGCTCTCAGAACCAGCTCTCAATCTTTTTCCTCTTTGAATTATTCCTCAGCCATTCAAACTCATGAAAGAAACACGAAAGCTCTCTAACCAAAGCCTATTGCTTTTCTGGGGGAAAAAGCAAGAGCTCAGAAAGCCTCTAAGAAAACAAATTATATCAGCATATACCAGGCAAAGTTGACTGACTATCTTTCTACTGGTCTCCTTGCATAAGTAGCCTGTAAGGGGTGCAGTAAAGTCCAATCTGAGAAGGAAATGGCAATCTACTCCAGGATTCTTGCCTAGAGAATCCTGTGGACAGAGGAGCCTGGTGGGCTGCTGTCCATAGGGTTGCACAGAGTTGGACACGACTGAAGCTACTTAGCATGCATGCATGCATTGGAGAAGGAAAAGGCAACGCACTCCAATATTCTTGCCTGGAGAACCCCAGGGACAGAGGAGCCTGGTGGGCTGCTGTCTATGGGGTCGCACAGAGTCGGACACGACTGAAGTGACTTAGCAGCAGCAGCAGCAGCAAAGTCCAATCTAGGACCCAGAACTTAAGGTCGGAGGATAGCAACCTGCACTCAGTCAACAGACATATATTGTTTTGCCCTTACAACATGTTACACATTAAGCAACGGTTATAAATCAGGATATTTCATATCAAAGCACAGAATTGCAATTATCTTCTAAGAGCTAAAAACCTGTGCCAACAGTGGGTACTCATTTCCAGAAGGCATGGCTTCTCTGGCTGCCCCTCCAGGGGGGCCAGTGCTCCCCCATGGACTCCCCCTCCAATTGTGTGTTGCCTTTTCCCTACATATGTATGATTGTCCTCTGCCCACTACATGTGTGTTCTGCCCTTCACTCTAGTTCTGCCGGTTCTTTCCTGTGTTTTCAACCCCTGCTCTAAGAAACTGGAGACAGTTTCCCTTCTTTTTTCAAAAGCACCATGGTTACTAAACAGTCATTTGAAAATATGTACAATTCAATAAAGCAGTTATTGAATCAATCCAGTTACTGAACGCAACTGGATTGAACGCAATCCAGTTATTCTGAGTAAGGGGTCCTTCATGTGAAATGTAGATTTCTGGTAATAAAAATAAGTCTCATTCAATAAGGATAAAAACTCTGCTTTTAACAGTAGCTGCTGGGTCTCATCTAGGTTGAGTTTCAGTCCTGAGCCAAAGAGACTATTGAAGTCTCAGGTAAAACCAATGGTTTCAGGTAGTGGACCTGGCAAAGATGTCATTGAGGAAGGTGGTAAGAAAGCAATTGTCCCTTTTTATGGTGCCGGGCCAGCTGAGCTTCTTCACAAGATATGCACTAAGTTACTGTGGTCATTGACTGCATGGTTCTCGAGGAACACGGCAAGGCACATTAAAGCAGAAATGTGAGAGAGCTGGAAAAAGGAGAGCATGTGGATGGTATGTTTCCAAATGTTTGCCAGATGGATAAATGACTGCATGGTGGTCGGACCAGCTTTGTGAGTCTTTCATAATTACATTAATATCTGACATTCCCAGAGGACTTGCTAAGTGTTTTACAACAACTTCACGGGAGTTACCTCAGGGCATTTTCACAACTCTATCAAGTAAAAACTATTATCATCCCCAATTTGCAGGCAGGAAACTGATGTTTAGAGATGAAATAGCTCCTTCAAAGACAATCAACACTACATCAATTCTGTTCTCTTCTGGCTACCACCCTAGGTCTCTGCTCCCTTCACAGCAAAATTCTTTGCAAGAGTCATCTACTCTTATTGCACTCATATCAATGACGGCTGACAGATTAACCCACCAAATGTGCCCCAAATTTATACTGGCCCTTGAAAAATGCTGGAGGTAGGATGCTAACCCACATACAGTCAGAAATCCACATGTATCTTTATAATTGGCCCTCCATATCTGTGATTCTTGGTCTACAAGGAGTCCCTTAGACAGCAAGGAGACCAAACCAGTCAATCCTAAAGGAAATTAACCCTGAATATTCATTGGAAGGACTGATGCTGAAGATGAAGCTGCAATATTTTGGCCACATGGTGCAAAGAGCCAACTCATCAGGAAAGACCCTAATGCTGGGAAAGATTGAGGGCAGGAGGAGAAGGAGACAAAAGAGGATGAGGTGGTTGNCCCTCCCCAATATTCCCCATTACATCCCAGTACAAATGACTGCCATCTCTTGTAGAGACTTATACAAAAGTGTCCTAAATGACCTCCTGCCTTCCATTTAGTCCAGTTTCCACACAACAGCAAGAAGATATTTTTAAAACACAAATTAAATCATATCACTCTCCTGCTCAAAACCCTACACATTTCTTCCTGTGGCCTAACAAGCTCTCACCTCTACTTTGCTCCCCATACTCCACCCATGTTGGCCTTTCCATTGCTGCTCAGATAAGACACCAGAGCCATGTGCTCACCATACATTTGCCTGGAACTTCCCCAGTGATTGCTCCTTCTTCCAATCTGGGTCTCTGCCTCAAATGTCACCTCCCTAATGTGTTTTCTGTCTCATTACCCCTCTATCCATGACTATTCCATGCTTTGTTTTGTCTTAACACTTACTGCAATAACATTACAACAGTTGGTGATTTGCTTGTTAATTTTTTGTCTTGTAGATGTAGGACAGAGACTTTATTACTCAATTTTCCATTCCCAGATCCTAGAATTTTCTGGCACACAGCAAAGGTCCAGTATTTGTTAAATGAATGAATATAGAGTTGACAAATTAGCAGAAACATAGTTTAAAGGGTGTCTGATGAATACAGGGTCATTTCATAATATGTGTTAATCTAACCAGAGCTAGATACCATGATGATCATGAAAAAAATAATAATTTCAATCCCTTCTTATGATCATAATTTACATATTCATGGCTAAAAGTTGATTTTTAAACTCCTTTTCCTTTTTAGAATATTTATTTATTTGGATGCAGTGGATCTTAGTTGTGACATACAAACTCTTTAGTTATGGCAAGTGGGATCTGATTCCCTGACCACAGATAGAACCCGAGCCCCCTGCATTGGGAGTGCAGAGTCGTGACCACTGGACCACCAGGGAAGTTGCTCAACTCCTTTTCCACACATCTGAACCCTAAATACCATCAAACAGTGAAATAATAATAATAATCATAATAAAAACTATAAAGTCAAACAAGTGACATCAGAGCTTAGGAAAAAAACACTAACCCAACACCCTGATAATGATTACAATGTTTATGAATAAACACACAATTCAAACACAGATATTCGGATTCATTCAGGTTTTTCTGTAAGATTTTATGGAAAAACCAAGACAAATTTTTGGCCAACCCAATATATACTTCATTAGAGAAAAAAATGTCAAAACTTCAAGTATCAAAGGAAAAGAACAAGAAATTACATATGACTCATGGGCATTCTGCATTCTATTGTTTCAAGATGGTGAAGGAAAGATAAGAGTTTGCTTTGTTTGTTTGAATTCTGTGCCATGTGATGGCAAGATTTCACTGCACTATACTTTCCTGACGAAGTAAAAAAACTATTACTTGAAGGCAGCTCAACCATACATTCTTAACTATAGGGCATATTTAGGATACATATACAACCAGGCTTTTAAAAAATATTCTTTGTGTCTGTTACCTATGTTAATTGCAGTTTCTTGTTTATCTCCTGTCAAGACCCATATTTTTATGTTCGCTTTCAATAGACTTGTTATCGTTTCTGGAACACGTGCTTGAAGGCGATCCTCGATAGCCGTGGCTCCAAGTAGTAGGAACTTCTAGATGTTTTTGGGAAAAGATAGTTATTATTGCTAATTAAAGATAAAAATATATCGTTTCTTGGCCTTTTGGCTAAGATCAAGTGTAAAGATAAAAATATTTTACAACGGAATAAATAGAGCAAATTTTGATAAAAGACATGCCGTCTAATAATTTATTATGCAAAAGTCCCATATGTGCATACACTCACACATTTTTTTCTAGTTTCTTCCACTGGTCTATTTGTTTGTCCCTATTTCACTATAGGGCTTCCCTCATGGCTTAGTGGTAAAGAACCCATATGCCAATGCAGGAGACACAGGTTCGATCCCTGGGTTGGGAATTTCCATTGGAGGAGGAAATGGCAATCCACTCCAGTATTCTTGCCTGGAAAATCCTATGGACAGAGGAGCCTGGTGGGCTACAGTCCATGGGGTCGCAAGAGTTGGACACTACTTAGCAACTAAACCACCACCACCATATAATGTATGAACCCTTCCACATGTATAGGCCCTTACTTTTGTCTGTAAGAAAAGTTTCATAATTTTCTCCATAAATCTCTTATCACCAGATGGTTTATTTTATAGTTTTTCTTTCTATTGTGAAGTATTGGTCTACCACTAGAGAGAAGTGGTTACAGTGTTATTTGAAAGTAGACTTTTCAAACTCTTTGGCAATCACTAAAAACATTTTTAAAGGAAATATGGTTGATATACTAAAAAAGAGAGCAAGAAAGCAGATTATATATAATCCTCAATTAGAACCAAAGAAAGCAGAAGAAAAGTGGAAAAAAATAAGAAGAAAAAAGTGGGAACAAATAAAAATAGTTACAAATACAGTATATATTAACTAATCATCACTATAAACATGGCCTAAATGCTTATAGTGGTCTAAATACACCAATTAAATGAGGGTTAGGTTAGGTTAGGGGCTTCTCAGGTGGCTCAGCAGTAAAGAATCCACCTGCCAATGCAGGAGACATGGGTTCAATCCCTGGGTTGGGAAGATCCCCTGGAGGAGGGTATAGCAACTCGCTCCAGTATTCTTGCATTCCAAGGACAGAGGAGTCTGGTGGGCTACAGTCAATGGGTTCATAAAGAGTCAGACCTGACTGAGCAGTTGAGCGCACACACACACACACAAATACACACAAGAGGATACTACATATATAATACATGCAAAAGAACAAAGGGAAGAGATTGGAACTCAGTCATTAGCCCAATATTTCAGATGATTGTTATATGTTATTCTAGCTTATTTTTCTATAATAAACACGTATTTCTTTTCAAGTGGGAAAAGCCACACAGAGGATAACAAGATTGAAGCGACTAGGATACGATTCAAAACAGGGAGAAATATTTTGAACAGTTTAAAAGACATTTTATGAATTCTTAATACAATAAGACAGATGAATACTTCAGAAAAAAATTTACCTGAGCTTTTAACATGACACCAAGATATGACTACATTGATAAGCTCATAAGCTCATTTTCTTCAAATGTGTTGGCATGGACAACACATATGGTATACATTACCTGTTCAATTCTATCGTAACAGTCTTCCAGACTTTGCATTCTGTCTTGTACCACTGTGCTGGCTTTCTTATACATGACCAGCCACTGCTCATACTCTATTTCAGTTAAGTCTATGTAGGCAACACAGAGAGTTCTCAGACCTGCAAGAGAGAGGTCACCTGGTGAGGCTCCCAGTGATTCGATAGAAGTAGAGAATTTAAAAACAAAATCCAAAAGTGTTTCAGAGCCCATGGGACAATAAAGGCCTTTGTGTGGCCCCTCCTGACTCACCTGGTCTCCTTACTCATCTTCCCTCCTCCCCTCCTCCTTGCTCACTGTAGTACCCTCGCTGGTCCTCATATTCCCCAACATTTGGACTTGCACATCCTATACCCAGAACACTTTCTCCTGAGGGCCTGTCATTCTCTCTCCCTTCCTGCAGTCTCTATCTAACTCACCCTACACAGAGAGCACCTCGTCGCTCTGTCCCTTTACCCTGTTTATTTTCTCTCCATAGCACTCCTCACACCACATGACATCATCTATCATTGGCATATTCTCGCAGGACATTAGCTTATGTTTTGTTCACTTCTGCCCTGGAAGCTGAAAACACTGCAGGGCACTATATAGATGCTCAATAACTATTTGTCGAATGAAGGAAAGAATAAGAGGCTTCAGTTTCCAACATTAAAGTAAGCCCAACAAATGTTGAGATAACAGAAAATTAACTTGAATCCCAAGAAGTTCAAGCTGGGTTTAGAAAAGGCAGAGGACCCAGAGATCAAATTGCCAACCTCCTCTCGATCATAGAAAAAGCAAGCGAATTCCAGAAAAACATCTATCTCTGCTTCATCGACTATGCTAAAGCTTTTGACAGTGTGGATCACAACAAACTGTGGAAAATTATTCAAGAGGTGGGNGGCAGTGGGGGGTAAACTGCTAAAAGATCTTCAGTCTTGCAAAACATCTCCAAGGGAATGGCCAGCCTTTGAAAGGGGTATATTAATCTCTTCTATTCACAGGTGGGTAGGGACAAATTATGCCTCTGTGAGCTGAACAAAGACACTTTACAGTCAAGCAGATGGCCAGGGTCCTCTGAGGCAGGCTATTAAGTATGATTATACAAAAGCATAATCATAGTAAGTATGACTATACAAAAGTCAGTGATAGTATCACCAACTTGATGGACATGAGTTTGAGCAAGCTCCAGGAGTTGGTGATGGACAGGGAAGCCTGGCAGGCTGCAGTCCATGATGTTGCAAAAAGTCGGACACGGCTGAGTGACTGAATTGAACTGCAATGACATGTCTGAAAAAATTTTTTAATTGGATTGTAATATTTTAGGTTAATTGTGGCAAAACATTCAAATACTTGAGAATTTCCTGTTTCTCTGCAGAACAGGCTTCTCAGGTGGCTCAGTGGTAAAGAAGCTGCCTGCCAAGCAGTAGACAAGGATTCCATCCCTGGGTCAAGAAAATCCCCTGGAGGAGGAAATGGTAACCCACTCCAGTATTCATCCCTGGGAAATTCCATGGACAGAGGGGCCTGAAGGCTACAGTCCATGGGGTCCCAAGAGTTGGACACGGCTGAGCCACTGAGCACACACACACACAACTCTCTGCAGAAGACCTATAGAAGTTGTCATCAATATAGTTTCCATATGCTTCTACCTATTGTAACCAACCTACAGCACAGGTATATTTTCAGAGACCACTAAAAGATCCAAAATGTAAACTTGCAAAATATCCATACTCTCACATAAGACACACATGTGTCTATAGGAAGCAGCAGTTTGTAAACTAAAAGGAGAAAGTGGACTATAGTTTTCAAGGTACTCTTAGTCAGTATTACTCCTTGCTTTTAAAAGCACCTATAAACCTTCCAATGGATGTTGTTCTTATTCAAAACTCACTCAAGGAATGTATTTCATAGAGAGATGGATGATAAGTCAAAATCAGAAGGATAAAAGAATGCAGGAAAATATCAACCATGTCAGCATTCTGAGTTATACACAAAATGATTAACTTCAAAACACACAACACAAACCAAAAAAAAACCCCAAAAACCTCCCTTTATTTCCAGTTCAGTTCAGTCACTCAGTCGTGTCCAACTCTTTGCAACTCCATGGACTGCAGCACACCAGGCTTCCCTGTCCATCACCAACTCCTGGAGCATGCTCAAACTCATGTCCATCAAGTTGGTGATGCCATCCAACCGTCTCATCCTCTGTCTAGAAATAGATAATAGATTGAAGACACTGCTTTAGGAATAAAGGAAGAGGCTACAAATGTAAAAACATACATTTTAGTGTTTGCAACTAAGCACAAAATACTGTTGGAGTGGAAGAAAGGGAAAATAATAAGACTGCCTAGACAGGGCCTGTTTGGGGAACCATTTATTTTTAACCAAACTGAAGGCATACAAAGTCTCACATACCAACAAATTCCCCCGAGCACGCATTGAGGCTATAATTTCAACAGTTAAGGACAACATTACAAAAGGGAACTCAATTCTAAATAATTTTCACTTACCTTCTTTAGCAAAATTTTCCAGATGGACTAATGTCTCCTCCACAAAGAGAGAATTTTCTGAAAGTCTCTCATAAATCACTGAATCCTATAGGAAAAAAGCCACACAAACACACACTGTGATTAACATCTTATCTAAGCCTGATAATCTGAATTACAAAAACTTTTATCATTTTTTGTTATAGCTCATAGAAGTGAAGGAGCTCAAGAAGCCCCAGTGAAGGCACAATTCCAGGAAAAAAGATGTTACATACAGAGGAACAAAGACAAGGAACAGAACAAATATCTCATGGGGACAATGCACGTGAGAAGCCAGTAAAGCAAAATCTTTATAGCACTAAAAGAAGAAAATGGTCAGCCTAGAAGTCTATAGTCAGCAAAAATTTACTTCAAGAGGTTAGAAAAAATAAAGATGAAATACATATTTTCTTTCTGACTTAGACTGAAAAAATGTATCACCAGTAGATCTATGTTATAAGCTATAGTAAAGGAACTTCTTCAGACAAAAGATTATTATACCAGATGGAAATATGAGTCTGAAGAGCACTGGACATGGTATTGGCATGTGCATACATATATATATACATTATTTCTCTCATTATCTAATTCTTTTTATTCTAAGAAATTGGACAAAGTTAATAGCTGTAAAGTGTGAAGATTATAACATTTGTAAAATTAAAATGTATGACCAGCATACCAGAAGGATGAGGAGAGAGAAATGGAAATATAAAATTATAAGGTTCTTGCACTATATGTGAAGTAATATAATATCACTTGAAGGAGAAATGTAATAAAGATACCTATTATAAGCCACAAAGTAGCTACTAAAATAAATACTTTAAGTTTTAAAACAAGGAAATTGGAAAAACAAATTCAAGTAATCCAAAAGAAAGTATAAAATAAAAAAGAACAACCAGGGCCAATAGAAAATAAATGGCAAGATGATATATTTAAACCTAGTCATATAGATAACCATACTATATAAACAGTCTAAACATCAGTTAAAAGGCAGAGATTTCCAAAACAGATTTAAAACACTAGACCCAATAGCATGCTCCCTGGAAGAAACACACTTTAAAGACACACATACACACATACAAACAAAACCGAAGATTGAAAAAAAAATAAAGAAGACTTCCCTGGTCTTAAGACTTTCTTAACCAGTTGTTAAGAATCTGCGTGCCAATGCAGGGGATGTGGGTTCCATCCCTGGTCCTGGAGGAGTCCACCTACCGTGAAGCAACTAAGCCTCATGCGCCACAACGAGAAAAACCATGGTAATGAGAAACCCACACACCACAACTAGAGAGTAATCCACAACAATAAAGACCGAGCACAGCCAAAAATAAATAAATAAAATTTAAAATAGTAAAGAGACTATGACAATTTTTCCACAACTAGGAAAAATTCCACAACTTGGATGAAATAGAAAAGTTCTATAAAAACCACAAATCAAAGCTAACTAGCTAATTAGAAAAAAATGTTCTGAAGAGCTCTATATTTTTAAAGAAATGGAATTTGAAGTTATGACTATTTCCACCTCAGGTCCATAACTATGTGCTAAGTCCCACGAATCCTTTTAGAGACTCCCTGAAAGCATAGTGGTAGTCTTGGGAACCCTCATCACAGATGAAAAACACATGGAAGAATGTTTGCTATCATCAGTCATCATGGAAATGTAAATTAAATTCACAGTGAGATACACACCTATCAGAACGGCAAAATTAAAAAGACTAACCAGGCCTGATGTTGGTAACAACTGCTGGTAAGAATGTAACTTCAACTTGGTGGTTTCTTAAGAAGTTGATATATAGCTCCCACGTGATCCAATAATTTTACTCCTGGATATTGACCAGTGAGAGATAAAACTATATGCCCACAGAAAGAGTTGCAAACAAATGGTCACAGGAGCATTACTTGTAGCAGCCAAAACTGCAGATCATTGGATCTCAAAAAAATAGCTGAGTGACAGCACGTTTTCACTGACATCAAAGTTTAATAAAATTCTGCTGGCATTTCAGTGGGTTTGGCGGCCTTGAGATGGACTTTTCAGCCTAATGCTATCAACCACCAGTGATAACAGCACATACAAAGTAATGACATTTTAAAATCCATTACATGAATGATGAATCCCAGTACGTACGGCCCCTTTGCAGTAGAGCCGGAGCTGTCCTTCAGAAGTTCGGACGATTACAGACATCCTCTTTCTGTTACTAGAACAATATCGAAAGTAATGTTAGTTTCTGTTTTCCTCAGTATGTGGAGCTACCACCCAAGCAAAAACTCAAAGTCAAAAGACCTCTAATTGTCAGAATCCTCAGCTGCCTATGGCTAAAAAGGCTGGCACGTTTATTACCAGCCTCCTCGTCTTCCTTCTTTACTGACTTCCTTTAACTGAAATTCTGATTATAAATCTCCACCTTCTTCTACTACTATTCTTTTCTTCCATGGGAATTTACTGACACAAGTATATACAACAGATCATATTAGGATATATTGGATTAATATGTACTATTATAATATAGCACATGATGCATATATAATGTAACATCTTTATGTATTATACATACACATGTATTATACAACATGTATATTACTTAAAATACATAAATTTTATATACATGTAATGTGCTTATATAATGATGAGAGAAGGGGAAAGCAGGCCTGGTCCTGTATGATTTTCAGTCCTCACACCATCTTCATCAACTAGACCTTTCTGGCCCCATTTTCCTGCACAAGATATTAAATTGCTGGCTCAGTAGACGCCAGAATCTTTTGAATGTATAGTTCTGTCTCAAAGCCCTCCGGATTGTGTGTGTGTGTGTGTGTGTGTGTGTGTTATAGCTATCATAGAACCTAAACTCACTGCTTTTGTTCCTGATTTAGGAGCCCAAATCGGCTTGAAGATCTCCTCTCACCTCTGTCCTCCACACACAGCCACAGTAAACTGGGCGAGACAGTCCTTCCTCCTCACCAGGTCATTCACCCACTCTTCATTCTCCTTCTACCGTTCAGTCACCAGCCCAAACCCCACCTCCTCACACAGGCTCCCAGGCCCCTCAGAGGTAAACCTCCACCTCCCGGGGCACCACAGTCTCCACCAAGTCATACTGCTCAATATTCTTTATCGCCCTCAACATGAATGGAGCAGAGGCCGCACAAACAGGCGGTCATCAAGGCCACCTTACTCCTCGAACAGTTCTAGAAAACTATTTTTTTCTAGGACTCCTCAAATGTTCTAGAAAAATATTTTTAGCTTTATAGACTGCAATGCACACCACAGAGATGAAAATACATTTTTTAAAATTCTTTAGCTTTTCTTTGAATTTGAGCAAACTCCAGGAGATAGTGAAGGACAGGGAAAGCTGGTATGCTGCACTCCATGGGGTCATAAGTTGGACATGACCTAACAACTAAACAGAAACTTTTCTTTTACCTTCGGAGGCACAGATTGGTTGACAATACCAAGGACTTTGGAACCAGCAGACCTGGATTTCAACCCTGATTCTGCCACATATTTGCTTAGAGACATTGGGAAGGTCATTTAAAGGGAGCCCCAACTACAGGTCTTCCAAGTGTATGGCCATCATGGGCCTCAGAGGACAGTTCTGAACATGTCCTACAGACCAGACGGTCGCAGTCATTACTTCCTGCATGTTTTCAAGCTCTTTCAAAAAAATAACTTTATTTTCCCTCAGGAAAAAGACTGATCAAGAAAAAGATGTTCAAGATTGAAAGAGAAGTAAGAGGTTCATAGAAATTATGGGCAAAATGAGAGGAGGAGGCTGTTCTTCGGGGAGAAGAAAATCTTGGTAAAACTGAAACGCTTAAGCCTCAGAGAAGAGTGTTCCAATTAAAATAATTATCATAATGAGGCCTAGAGAAGCAAAAACTGAACTGAGATGCAAGGGTGTGTAGAAGCTAACTAGAATTTCAGGATGCTGTTTTTGGGTTTTCATTTACAGCCAAATTTCAGTTGAATAGTCAAAGAAGAGCCCTGGAAAATGCACATACAGAACAAAAAGGTAGCTTACCTAGAAAATTCCAGTACATTAAGTATTTCAAATGTGAGTTCTTCTCCCATCTACAAGAAAATAAGACAACATATTCTTACCTTAAGAAAAAAATATTTGTCTCACAAAGTAACTCACTCTCCCAATCATGAACAAGTTTCACCCTCCAAATACATATCTTTTTCAAAATAAAGCCTTCCTGCAAGTCTGATGAGATGATGGTGCCCTCTTCTGGTAAGAATGTTGTTTGCAACCTGGACAATATTAACAAAAGTGCTTCCTATAGCGACAGATTAAGACTGTAACACCTCTCCAATCTAAAGTCAGCATGATTAGAAAAATTGTACACGTGTGTCTCTGGATGAGCAGGTGCATGTAAACCGCTAGAAAGTATATCAAGTATTACTCACAGCTTCTATGGTGACAGAGTTTGGCATCCTTGCGGTGAAAACAAAGCCAAGTTTCTTGGCTCCTTTCACTAAAGCTGCTTCATCTGTCAATAAAAAGCCTGTATTAATGGAGATTGAGCAAGTGTATTAACACTATACTTAATTTAATACAGATCTCTCCAGCAGTAAAATATCATGTCATTCTTTAGAACTTGGGGTTTTCTACCCAAATGTGTTTATCAGTGCTTCTAGGTAGCAGAGAGTGTTGACAGAAGAAGAAATCTGGTTAAGCAGGGCCTCGGTCAGTGGGACTAATCCACCAGCCTGGAATTAAAACACTTTCCTCCTGCTCACTGAGGTCTTCTCTGTTCTCCACAACATTAGTAACACTTCCATAAAATGTTGCATGGCCTTAACCTGCCCCCTGCCTGGTTACTGACTGTAACCTGCTTCTAAGACCCTGCTCCAAGACCACCCCCTGCCAGCCTTCTGGGCACTTTGGGGGTGTGTGGGGTATGTGGAGAGTGGGAGCCCCAGAGCTTCAGAGTGGCTCAGAGCCATATAAGAATGCCCCAAACTGGTAAGAATTTCAGGCAAGGAAAAAGGCAGGCACGACTGGGGATCTGTGATGGCCTCCCTTCCTCTGTGGGCTCATCACCTGCCAGGTGTTCACAGGCACACGGCACCTACCTGGAGAGGAGGCCTGGTAGCTTATGTTGTTTCCCTCTCTCTCTGGAAAAACAGTGTGGCACACACACAACAGAGTAAGAAATTCCTTTATATACTCTTTCGTGGGCTGTAAGAAAGGGACACAGCTAATGACTCTCTTTTAACCTGCCCCTTCAACTCAAAAGTCCTATATAATCTGCATATATATATATATATACACCAAGTAAGATTTCGCTTCAGATCCATACAGAGTAAGGCACTGGCTAGAAACCATACCACACATTCAGAATGTGTTTGTGGGGTGGAGGCTGAGTCAGGGGCAGAAGTGGGGCCTGGGGCGACCACAGGGAACAGGAAGACCTTGCTCTCTAGGGATGTTTGCTCTCCCTGGGGACACAGATGTTCGAAAAGCAGGAGGAAACAAGAAGGAGGTGTGATAGGGAAGTCAGGGGCATATTTTAGGGAGGTGATGCAGAGTACACCATGCAAAATGCTGGGCTGGATGAAGCACAAGCTGGAATCAAGAAACATGAGTTTGAGTAAGTTCTGGGAGTTGGTGACAGTCAGGGAAGCCTGGCATGCTGCTGTCCATGCAAAGAGTCGGACACAACTGAATGACTGAACTGAACTGAACTGAACTGAACTGACAAGGGAAAAAAAGCATATTTAGATGTTTAAATTAAGACCTAAATGGAAAGGTTAATTGTGGGTCTGTGTTCAAGTGTGTGGTGGCACACACCAAAGGTTGTAGCACTTTCCCAGGACCCAAAATCAGGACACAGATTCATCGTTTGTGGAGCTTCAAGATAAATGTGGCTCCAACATCTTGAGTGTAGGGATCAGAGGCACAGAATGAGGTTGGAGACAGAGAGGACCACAGTAGTAAGTCAGGATTCTATCTTAAGTGTGCTGCCAGTCCTCGGAAGGGTCTTAAGCAAAGGAAGAACATGTATGGGTTTTACATTTTAAAGATCACTTTTATTTAATTTTTGGCTGCTCCCCAAGGCATTTGGGCTCTTAATTCCCTGACCAGGGATTGAACCCATGCTCCCTGAGTTGGAAGGCAGAGTCTTAACCACTAGTTTACTGGGGAAGTCCCAAAGATCACTTTTATTTTTAGAAGATCAAGATTTCCCATCAGCTAGATCAATATCTTAAAATAGATAAATGAAGATATTGATTGCATGCTATAGAACCAAAGAGTTTAAAAGCAGATAGACATAGGATTTCACAGATTGCTACATAGTAGAATATTCCTATATAACGTCTGAATTCATTCACACTCAAGTCAAGGCATAGCTCATACTTCTCATGTTAAATCCCTTGCTTACTATATTAATACCAAAAACTTTTCAAGACTCTCTCTCTTTTCCTTTTAGGAAAATACATGTATGTTTGAAAGTTACATAACAAAACCCTGTCAACATAGAGGGAAAATAGCAGACTTACATGATCATTCTTAAAGTTCTGCAACAATGCTGGGTCATTGAATTCATAGGAGTCTGAGATGGAACAAGGAGACTGACTGAAGAAGAACAGATAACATTCATTTTAACTAAAAGTTCCTGGTAGTACCAGTCAGCAATCACACAGACCTAAGTGAAATATAGCCCCATATTCTGTTTTCACTAAATCACACTTACAACTAGTAAATATTCAGTGTTCTGTCAAATTATAATTCCCTGGTGGCTCGATGGTAAAAGAAACATCCTGCTAATGCAGGAGATTCAGGAGACACGGGTAGATCCTTGGGTTGGGAAGATTCCCTGGAGAAGGGAATGGCAACCCACTCTAGTAATTCTTGCCTGGAAAACTCCCACGGACAGAGGAAACTGGCGGGGCTACAGTTCATGGGGTCACACAGAGTCGGACATGACTGAACGCACAGCGCCCCCCACCATGTCAAATTATACAACTTCCCAGACCTCAAGCTGCATTAGAAAATGCTTAAACTTGTGTTGAAAATGGTATAGGTATATAGATTCTGAGGCAGAGGAAATTGCCACCAACACAGTAAACTGAAGAATAGATTCTGGGTTCTTCAAAACATGGGAAAGATCTATACCAGGGAGCTTCCTGAGAACTGCCACTAGGGGCCTGAACAATGGGGGCTGTGTGATTGTATGTCAGTGCTCCAGTATGATAAAATGTCCAAGGAAAAGGAACACTGGCAAAGGACAGAATGTTATCTAGTCACCTTAAGTCTTTTGCACCATCATCACTTTTGCTTGACAGATCTCTAAGAGAAAGTGAGGGAAGAAATATGATGATTACAGGTTATAAATATAAAACTCTTTAGGAATTCTAATCATGTTTAAAAGTAGACGTAAACCATGTTTTAGAAAATAAAAACACTGCAAGTTTTCATTTAAGGTATGTTAAGCTGCAATCTCATTCAGATATAGCTATAGTACTAGAAGTTCAGATAAGTTCTAGAATAAATGAAGTCTACTTAATTTTGTTAAGAAAAAAAATGGGAACTTCCAACAGAGTATGGCAATAAAAACACTTACCCATACATTATACCAGCAACACTGCACTTCTTAAATGTCATAATATTGCAAGTGAGGGTTCCTGTCTTATCAGAGAATAAGTATTCCACCTACAAAAAGAAGAAATACATTTTAAATTTAACTAAATGAAGAAAAACTTAACATGATAAATGACATAATTTAAAATGTATTTAGAGAGCAAAGATGTCATTCTTTCTCTTTAAACCCTCAAATTATGTGAATTTTTAGAAAACAAGGATTTCAATCTATAAGAATTCTATCTTTAATATCTACTTCTTTCAGAAGCCATACTCTTCTCTTTGTTTTACACTGGAGATGAAATTCTATTGTAATATGCAAAGTAAACTTCAAGCCATCAAACCTAAGAAATTCAGAAGTCCAAGTTAATTTTCTTGACATAAGAAATCTCATGAAAAGTACCTAGAAAACATTAAGTAGCTAGATTGGTATTGATACACCAATATATATGTATACCTCAGATAAAAAAGAAAAACAGACTCAAAGCCATTTTAATCATGATCATGAATATAATGATCATTTTAAAGACAAATGGAAATTTTGTAGGTGATCATTTCTGTCCAATGAACACTGCAAAGCAATGTGGATTTAAAGTTTTAAGATCTTTGCATTATTTGGATAGACAAGATGGATGCCAACAATTTGTTATGTAAAGTCACCAAAAATGATAATAAAAGGCAGAAATTTTCAGATATGCTTTCAGAAACATTTGTTTTTATTTTTAGAAACAACTTATTTCTGTATATTGGTTTTTTATCATTCAACTTTTCTGGGTTCTTTTTTTATTATTGCTTACAGGTTTTTGGTGCAGACTTTAGGGTTTTTCTATACATAATATGTCATATGTCAAAAGAGACAGCTTTAATTCTTCCTTTCTGCTTTGGATGCCTTTTATTTATTTTTCTTACCTAACTGCCATGGCTAGGATTTACAATACTAAATTGAATAAAAGTAGCATTTTTTTAATGCTACCCTAATAAGCGGAGGCATCCTTGTTTTATTTTTTTATCTTAGAGGAAAAACTTTTCATTTTTCACTGAGTATAATTTTAACTGTGAGCTTGTTGTACACACCCTTTATTATGTTGAAATATATTCCCTCTGTAGTCACTTTATTGAGACGTTTATGATACATGGATGTTGAATTTTGTCAAATGCTTTTCCTGCATCTATTGTATACATTTCTTATCCTTCATTTTGTTTAAAGGGTGTATCACATTGGTTGATTTGTGCATATTGAGCCAGTCTTGTATTCCTAGAATAAATAATCATGATGTATGATCCTTTATTAATGTTGAATTTGATCTGCTAATATTTTATTGAGGATTTCTGCATCTGAGTTTATAAGGGATATTGACCTGTAATTTTCTTTTCTTGTGGTGCCTGTGCATCCATGCATGCTCAGTTGTGTCCAACTCTTCGCAACCCCATGGATTTTTGTAGCCCACCAGGCTCTTCTGTCCATGGGATTTCCCAGGCAAGAATACTGGAGTAGCTTGCTATTTCCTTCTCCAGTGGTATCTTTGTCTATGCTGGTAAATGATGAAACCAGGATTCACACTCAGGATGTTTAACTTCAAAATTCTGCCTTTTACCATAATTTAGATGTGGCCTCTAATTAATTGAAAGATAGAAAATCACAATCTGGTAAATACATATAGAGAGACAGAACATAAAGTAGATAGAAAAAAGCAACAATTACAGGTCTTTCTTCCTTCAAGTTCTGTACAACTGTGAGAGTTGTTGCTGCTTTTTTTTCAGCTTTATTATATTAATAGTATAATTGACAAATAATCTTGGGAGTTTTTAAAACTGAATTTAAACTTGTAAAGATGCCATTGTCATTTAAAAGGCAACCAACAACTGTCCGTTGGTAACTGGGCATCATTCCCGCCTTTCTATTGTAAGGCAGGAATAGAGGCCGGAGGCTACTATGTTTCTCTGGTCTGCAGATTAGATTCCACCATTGACAGGCATTTTCAGTGAAGATCCAGAAGCTCTACTGCTTCCCTTCTGGCAGCTTTGGGCAGATGCATGGATTTGGCCGGTGTGAAATTTCACAACAGCCTGTGGATGCTCCCCTATGGGTCACCTGCCTTAAAGAGGCAGAAACCCAGCCATCCCCCAGATTCCAGGGTCCCTGTGGCTCCCTGGAAGCTACCTGAAGCCCTGGGAGCCCCCAGCAGCTTTTCCCACTTGTCCCACAGCTCTTTCATTCTTCTACCTCTCCCCCCAGCTCTTTCACTCTCTCATAAGCACATAATAACCTATATCAGATGTGTTCTACTTGTAACCCATTATGCAATATTATTAATAATTGGAACAAATTATATTTCTAAAGCTTCACAAGGATGTCACATTATCTATGTGCATGCTCAGTCACTTCAGTCATGTCCAACTCTCTGTGACCCCATGGACTATAGCCTGCCAGGCTCCTCTATCCGTGGGATTTCCCAGGCAAGAATACTGGGGTGGGTTGCCATGCCCTCCTGCAGGGGGTCTTCCCAACCCAGAGATTGAACCTGGGTCTCTTACATTGCAGGCGGATTCTTTACCATTGAGCCACTGGGGAAGCCCCAGTGGCTTCCCTCTAGCCCACGGCTAAATCTGGCCATTCAGCTCTGCACACCTCTCCCTAGACCCACCTCCTGTGGCACTCCTGTCACACTGCCCAGCCCTGAGAGGTCCTCACCTGCCCAAGCTCTTCATTAAGATTGGATGTTCTGGCCATAGCGTGGACATTACTTCCCTTAAAATGCATATCTTCATCCTGCAGGAAACAAACAAAATAGCCAAGCCACACAGACAGAACTAGGCTCAAAACGTCTTCAGGAAGTCCATACCGCCACTGATCTGATGTGCTTGACATTTATAAAGAATTCACAGTGGAGAGTCCAGAATACTTGGGTTGGGACGTATATATGCTAGTTTTTCACATGAGTTGACAGAGTCGATTTAGGAAAAGCAAAGCCATGTAGAAACAAAGGTCAAGGTGATTTGGAAGATGTGGTTTTCAATCCTGGCTGTGCCTCAGGCATGCTGTGTGGCATTAAGCGTGCCTCAATTCCTACGTCTATCAGATAGGGTAGTAATAGGGACCTCCCTCCTGGCACTACTCAGGGCTACTGCAAAGATCAGATGAGAACATGTTTGAGGGCACTTTGTCTAATTTTGTGGTTGCTAAAATAATACTCCCTTTCAAATGATGGTAGTTCATCAACATATTGGGAGGATCCTGTTAAGGTGACATCCAGAAAGAATTTTATTTCAAAGAAGAAACCAACACAACATTGTAAAGCAATTGTTCTCCAGTTAAAAAAATAATACAGATCAGCAAATGCAAACTACTATGAATTACTGTGTGCCATATGCCTGAAACTAACACAATATTGTAAATCAACTGTACTCCAATAAAAAAAGAACAATATGAAGACAAAAAATACTTAAAGTGACAACCCTACACACAGATTTGAAAATCTGTTCAGTCACAACTGACAAAGTATTAACTTCAGTCAATACATGGCTCTAACCTAAAGAATATTTTTCTTAATTTGAAGGAATGCTGAAATGTCATTTTTTCTGTCATTCTTGCCAAGCTCTGTAAATCTATTCTAAGTCTATTGGACTCTCCTTTGTGAGTATCTTAAGTTTTAATGTTTTAAGTTTTAAGTTTCTCTACACTTGCTCCTAAGCCTCTATCTCTTAAATATTTCTGATCATCTGGAAAATAGATATATACGGAAAATGTTGTGTCCTCAAGAGTGAGTCAAAGGCGTCTAGGAAGATCCAGAAGCTCTACTGCTTCCCTTCTGGCAGCTTTGGGCAGATGCATGGATTTGGCCGGTGTGAAATTTCACAACAGCCTGTGGATGCTCCCCTATGGGTCACCTGCCTTAAAGAGGCAGAAACCCAGCCATCCCCCAGATTCCAGGGTCCCTGTGGCTCCCTGGAAGCTACCTGAAGCCCTGGGAGCCCCCAGCAGCTTTTCCCACTTGTCCCACAGCTCTTTCATTCTTCTACCTCTCCCCCCAGCTCTTTCACTCTCTCATAAGCACATAATAACCTATATCAGATGTGTTCTACTTGTAACCCATTATGCAATATTATTAATAATTGGAACAAATTATATTTCTAAAGCTTCACAAGGGTGTCACATTATCTATGTGCATGCTCAGTCACTTCAGTCATGTCCAACTCTCTGTGACCCTATGGACTATAGCCTGCCAGGCTCCTCTATCCGTGGGATTTCCCAGGCAAGAATACTGGGGTGGGTTGCCATGCCCTCCTGCAGGGGGTCTTCCCAACCCAGAGATTGAACCTGGGTCTCTTACATTGCAGGCAGATTCTTTACCATTGAGCCACTGGGGAAGCCCCAGTGGCTTCCCTCTAGCCCACGGCTAAATCTGGCCATTCAGCTCTGCACACCTCTCCCTAGACCCACCTCCTGTGGCACTCCTGTCACACTGCCCAGCCCTGAGAGGTCCTCACCTGCCCAAGCTCTTCATTAAGATTGGATGTTCTGGCCATAGCATGGACATTACTTCCCTTAAAATGCATATCTTCATCCTGCAGGAAACAAACAAAATAGCCAAGCCACACAGACAGAACTAGGCTCAAAACGTCTTCAGGAAGTCCATACCGCCACTGATCTGATGTGCTTGACATTTATAAAGAATTCACAGTGGAGAGTCCAGAATACTTGGGTTGGGACGTATATATGCTAGTTTTTCACATGAGTTGACAGAGTCGATTTAGGAAAAGCAAAGCCATGTAGAAACAAAGGTCAAGGTGATTTGGAAGATGTGGTTTTCAATCCTGGCTGTGACTCAGGCATGCTGTGTGGCATTAAGCGTGCCTCAATTCCTACGTCTATCAGATAGGGTAGTAATAGGGACCTCCCTCCTGGCACTACTCAGAGCTACTGCAAAGATCAGATGAGAACATGTTTGAGGGCACTTTGTCTAATTTTGTGGTTGCTAAAATAATACTCCCTTTCAAATGATGGTAGTTCATCAACATATTGGGAGGATCCTGTTAAGGTGACATCCAGAAAGAATTTTATTTCAAAGAAGAAACCAACACAACATTGTAAAGCAATTGTTCTCCAGTTAAAAAAATAATACAGATCAGCAAATGCAAACTACTATGAATTACTGTGTGCCATATGCCTGAAACTAACACAATATTGTAAATCAACTGTACTCCAATAAAAAAAGAACAATATGAAGACAAAAAATACTTAAAGTGACAACCCTACACACAGATTTGAAAATCTGTTCAGTCACAACTGACAAAGTATTAACTTCAGTCAATACATGGCTCTAACCTAAAGAATATTTTTCTTAATTTGAAGGAATGCTGAAATGTCATTTTTTCTGTCATTCTTGCCAAGCTCTGTAAATCTATTCTAAGTCTATTGGACTCTCCTTTGTGAGTATCTTAAGTTTTAATGTTTTAAGTTTTAAGTTTCTCTACACTTGCTCCTAAGCCTCTATCTCTTAAATATTTCTGATCATCTGGAAAATAGATATATACGGAAAATGTTGTGTCCTCAAGAGTGAGTCAAAGGCGTCTAGGCACTGCTGAGTCAGCCTTGGCTTTTGGCCTATCAGCTGCACTGGCCCCACCACAAGGACTCAGTCACACTGATTCTTGAAACCAAAGTCATAACCCAAGAGAGAACTGTCTTAATTTCCTGAATTTACTACTCACCCAGTTTATAAACAGGGCCTGAATGTATTTCACAATTTCCAGAGTGACCAGCAGACTAATGGGGATGAGATTGTGGTACAAGATGATGAATACCAAAAGATCAAACCCAAAGCTGTGATAGTCATAATCTGTGGAAGAAAAATCAGAGGAACCACGTTGCGACTTCAGGCGATATCTTTATTCATCTGTGTTCTCATTATTACTTTTTTAAATTGTGGAATTTTTCTCCATGGAAATTATTGTTAAGAGTATAATTAAGTGGATACAGATCTAAAATAGCTTTTAAAATATTAGCTAAGAACCAATCAACCATGTAATAGGGTGCATAGAAGCATGGGGATACAAATTCTAATAAGACTTAGATCCTGTCCTCGGAGAACTTCAGATAGCTTGAGAAAGTGGGATGAGTCAGGAACTACAGCGTGACGAACTCTGTGAGGTGTGTAGCAAAAAAAAAAACACAAAGTTGGAGGCACAGAAATGGGTCTTGGATAAGGTGGTGAGCAAAGCATTGAAGAAAGGAAGTTGTTAAACACAGCAGATGAGGAGGGGTTGATGAGGCGGACTTTTTAAACTGTATATAACAGTAGGTTTGAGGGCTTCGCTGGTAGCTCAGTGGTAAAAGACCTGCCTGCCAATACAAGAGACCCAGGTTTGATCCCTGGGGCAGGAAGATTCCCCTGGAGAAGTAAATGACAACCCTCTCCAGTGTTCTTGCCTGGGGAATCCCATGGACAGAGGAGCCTGGTGGGCTACAGTCCATGGAGTTGCAAAAGAGTCAGACATGACTTAGGGACTAAAGTACCAATAACCGTAGATTTGAAGCTAAAGAGATAATTATTATAATGATTTTTTAAAACCCAGGGAAAGAAGTAAAAGATATTTTACTTAAAAATATCTAGAAATTGTTCAGAGGATCTATATGCACTGCCTTATATATGTCTTCCTGACAACTTGCATCTCAGACTTACATATTAAATTTATATAGTTGAATTATGGGAGGAAGAAGTTCTAACTAAATAAAAAGGAAGTTGTAAAAATGCTGGAGGTTGGTGCTTAAGAAGGAAATGTTCTATTTCTAAAACTCATTAACCTTCAGTTTCTGAAAACAAACAAGTGAAGCAAAAGCACCAGCCTCCAGTTAGAACGAGAGCCTTCCCTTTTACATGAAAACACGGGAAGTAACACAAAAGCAGCATCTTCCTCCCACGCTCTGACACTTACCTTTCTTCCCGATGTACCAGGGCTCCGCTCTGTACCTGTCTCTCCAGAATATGGCTCCCACACAGCTCACCAAGGACATGACCAAGAGCAGCAGGAATAACACCAGAATCTGCATGTTGGTCACCTTCTCCACCTTGGATCTCTTGAGGGGTGACTTGACTGCATTCTGCATGATAGCGGGCAACCACACACCAAAAAGGACCAAAAACAAGCAAGACAAGTGAATTACAGTTTGATGGTGAAGGAGGTTAAAAACGGCAATGGTTAAAAAGTACATCTTTTGCCAAATCACAGATGGACTGAAAGTGTGCCCATGGTTTTCCACCTTGCTTCTTGGAGCATCGCTCTCTAGTTCACAGCAAACAGATCCACATAGTAGATCTATCATCACAAAGTCCAAAGTCCTAGGGTTCCTAAAAACACAAAATGTTGTGATTTGGGGCAATGCTATTTGTCACCATAGATTATTTACCTGCATGAATTTAGTTTCAAATCCAGTGTAAACAACTATGCCCAGGATCCACTCAGTATTTTTAAGCTGTGTACCTCTCAGCAAGACCTGGTCAGGCCCAATTGAAATAGGGCTAAAAAAATAAAAAGAGTATTAGTAAATTACCACAGAACTTTTTATTTTCACAATGTAAAACAAATCTAGACTTTCACCATATATATATATATATATATATATTTCCTTTGTCAAGTTTAACTTTCTGGAAAAATAGCAATTAAAAACAAATGTGTCTTCAAAGAAAGTATCTATTTCTAAAACAGCACAGGAAAAAATTGCTTTGTTATCCATTTCTCACCATTCCAAATATATGTAGGCTAAAAATTTTAGAGAGTAAACAATCTTTATACTTAGAGTGACTATAAAAGTTATTGTCAGGAAAGATTAAGTGGACAAAAAAATGTTTGAGAAAGAAAAAAATGATACCTTTTACTATTTAGGTACAAGGTTCCCACAAAACTGTTGAAATGAAAATTAGGCCCTTCACATTTTATTTTTCCAGATAGGCTTGACAATTGCTTTTCTGTTTTCATGGCAGCTGTTTCTGACAAAGCCTACAAAATAAAATCAGAGGAAAAAATGAAAACTGAATTTTCAATACAAAGTTCAATGTCTCTTGTTCTGTCGCTCAATCATGTCCGACTCTTTGCGACCCCATGGACTGTAGCCCGCCAGGCTCCTCTGTCCATAGGATTTCCCAGGCAAGAATACTTGAGAGGGTTGCCATAATGTCTAATAAAAGAATATTATGAAAGTCAGTGTCTGAAAGTCACTGTAAGTGACTTGGTAAGTCAGTGTACTTACCAAACAAAAAAAAAATTTATATCAAACGCTAACAAAAACTTTGCTAGAAGGCTTTGCCATACCAACATTTTGCAAATAATTCTAATGAGGTCAAAAGAAGTATGAAAGTTAAGTTTCCATTGCCTTGAAGTGAAATTATAATTATCACAATCAAACACCATGTAGTAATTGATAGATTTATGCCTGCAACTGATGATGTTCAACTGTGGATCACACTCTGACTAGCAAGGATCTAGAACAATGATTCCAAACTTCTGTGTGCATCAGACTCACCTGCAGTCATGTTAAAGAACAGATTACAGGGCTGTGCCCCAAGAGTTTTTTTATTCAGTGGGTCTGGGGTAAGGCACCAAAATTTGCATTTCTAACAACTCTAACAGGATGGTGACGCTGCTGGTCCAAGGATCACACTTTGAGAATCACTCATCGAGAAAATGCCTCCTTCCAATGAGATGATCTCAGCCTTCCAGAGAGAAAAGGCAGATCACCTCCAAGAGAATTCAGAATCAAATTGTCATTAGTCTAACAATAGGAAATACTTAAAGACAGAGGATTTGATTTTTAAGTACTTAATTAAGAGACCTTTAAATGTAGAATGTTACAGCTTTCTAATTTCAAATAAATGAAAGTTTAGCACAAATATTCTCAGGCATGCATACAAAGTCTTAAAAGTTTTGACACTCAGGGACCTACATTGAAACAGTTTGGGATGAACTTCGGTTCAACAGAAGATACCTTAAATAAAGTCTGAAAGCAAGTTACCAACTTGAAGAAGACATTTGCAACACATAGAACTGATATACCTACTCTTATGTGCTGAAAGTGCATGAAGAGATTCTATAAATCAGAAAGAGAACGAATGAATGAAAAGTGTAATGAAAGTGTTAGTCACTCAGTCGTGTCCAACTCTTTGTGACCCCACGGACTGTAGCCCGCCAGGCTCCTCTGTCCATGGGATTCTCCAGGCAAGAGTACTGGAGTGGGTAGCCATGCCCTTCTCCGGGGGATCTTTCCCAAGCAGGGGCTGAGTCAGGGCTCCTGCACCACAGCGGATTCTTCACTGGATGAGCCCCAGGGAAGCCCCCAACAAGAACAAACACGTCCTGTTCATTTTTCTCTCGTCTACTTTCTCTGTTGTTTAAATTGGGTAGTTTCTATTGTGCTGTCTTTCAATTCACAGATTCTTTTCCCCAGCCCTTACATTCTGCTGTTGAGCCCAACCCCTGAGCTTTTTTCAGTTGGTTGGTTGGTTGCTTTGGGGGTTGATTTGTGTGTGTCTGTGGGGGGACAGGGGCTAGTTATTGTATTTTTAAGTTTTCAAATTTCCACATTTCCTTGCTGAGACTGTTTCTTTGCTGAGACTTTTGTTTCAAGCATTTTTGTCATTGCTCATGAAAGCCTTTTTTCTAATGTCCCCTGAAGTGTCTCTGTCAGATAATGCTTACATTTTTTGTTATTTTGGTGTTAGCATCATGGGTCGTCATTTTTCATTGAGTATGAGATCCTTCTGGTTTGGGGTATGGTGAATAAATTTTGATCGAAACCGGACAGCTTGCCTATTACATGTATTATGTTATGAGATACTAGATAGATATCATTTAAACCTTAGCTGGCTTCCTCTGGCACCTCTCTGACAGGGGATGAAAGTTCTGTCTCATTACTGCATGATGGGGGATAAACATACAAGTTGCAAACTTGACCTCTTTTAATGGCCAATTTGGGGGGTGGTCAGTTATAGCTGAGCAAGGGTGAGAGCCCTGATCTCCCTGTAGAGCTTCAACAACACCTCCCTGGCATGAATGGGTTGCAATGCCTTGTTATTACTGTCCACATGGTCCATTGATCCTAAAGGAAATGAACCCTGAATATTCATTGGAAGGAATATCTTTCCTATCTCCTGGAGTTTGCTCAAATCCATGTCTATTGAGTTGGTGATGCTATCTAACCACCTCATCCTCTGCCACTCCCTTCTCCTTTTGCCTTCAATATTTCCCAGCATCACAGTCTTTTCCAATGAGTTGGCTCTTTGCATCAGGTGGCCAAAGTATTGATGCTTCAGCATCAGGCCTTCCAATGAATATCCAGGGTTTATTTCCTTTAGGATTGACTGGTTTGATCTCCTTGCTGTCCAAGGGACTCTCAACAGTCTTCTCCAACACCATAGTTCAAAAGCACCAATTCTTCAGTGCTCAACCTTCATTATAATCCAACTGTCAGGTGGCTTAGCCAGTAAAGAATCTGCCTGCAATGCAGGAGACCTGGGTTCAGTCCCTGGGTTGGGAAAATCCCCTGGAGAAGGGAACTGCTTACCCACTCCAGTATTCTTCCCTGGAGTATTCCATGGACAGAGGACCCTAGTGGGCTACAGTCCACAGGATGTCAAATATTTGGACATGACTGAGTGAGTAACACACTTTGATCTAGTTATATTTAGTCAGGACAGTTTTACCATCAAATCATCAGCAGAAATATCAAACTCAAAACAAAATGCATAAAGGTGTGTCATCCTTTATGACCTGAATTTTATACAATATGATTTTTCTTGCAGTAGTGAGTGACACATTCATGTAGTTGTTGCTTATTCTTTTGAAAGTACCTTCTAAATATCTCATGAGAATAAATTACATCTATTTAAATAAGTTATATCTATATAAATAAATTACATTTATTAGTGGTGAGACCATTTTCATCATGAAAAAAAAGTAAATTTGGTAAATGACAAAACTTGACACTGTGGACTCAAATATAAAGTTAGGAATTAGAAAGACATCTCAGGACTTCCCTGGTGGTCCAGTGTCTGAGACTCTGGGATCCCAATGCAGGGGGCCCGGGTTCTATCCCTGGTTAGGGAACTAGATCCCATGTGCCACAACTAAGAGTTCAGGTGCCGCAACTTGGACCGGGTGCAGCCAAATAAGTAAATAAAGGTATCTTTACCTGCCGTATTTTTAGATTCGTCTCTCCATCCAGATTAGATGTTGCAACAAAACACGTTGCCTGAGGTTCACTAAAGAAAATAAAGCGAGCAATATTGAATCAATATCTCTCCAACAAATTAATTTCCCAATAACTGTAACCATGAAATATGATCTACATCAGTAAGGATTCTTCAGAACTAAAAGGACCACAACAACTATCTTGCCAGTGGATTTCAGCAGTCTGATCCTACAAGCCCAAGAGTCCTAATCACTGGGCCATCAGGGAATTCCCTAAAGTTGGTTTCTGTGTAGAAAGGAATTTCACTTTTTGCTGTGTGGGTAACCAGCAAACATTACTATTTAACAGCCCATCCTGTTACCACTGGCTTCCATGGTGGCTCAGATGGTAAATAATCTGCCTGCAATGCGAGAGACCTGGCTTCAATCCCTGAGTTGGGAAGATCCCCTGGAGAAGGGAATGAAAACCCACTCCAGTACTACTGCCTGGAGAATTCCATGGACAGAGGAGCCTGGCAGGCTACAGTCCATGGGGTCACAAAAGAGTCAGACATGACTGAGCAACTAACTCTAACTCGTGTTACTCCTGAAGCAGAGTGCCACCACTGTCACACATCAAAGCTCCAACATGTACAGATGTTTTTCTGGATTCTCTATTACCTCCCATGATCCTAGTTTTTCTGTTCCTGTGCTAATATTAACCCATCTAAACTGCTACAAATTGAAAACCATCTCTTTAAATGAAGTCAGACAGCTACCCTCAAATAATTCTTTTCTAAATTTATTTTTAATTGGAAGAGAATTGCTTTACAATGTTGTATTGATTTCTGCCATACATCAACATGCATCAGCCACAGGCATACACACGTTCCCTCCCTCTTGAACCTGCCTCCCACCACCCCATCTCACCCCCTTTAGGTTGTCACAGAGCACCAAGCTGAGCTCCCTGTGTTACACAGCAACTTCCCATTACCTATCTATTTTACACATGCGCGCTGTTGCTTCAGTCATGTCTGACTCTTTGTAACCCTATGGACTGTAGCCCGCCAGGTTCCTCTATCTATGGCATTCTCCAGGCAAGAACAGCGGAGTGGGTTGCCATTTCCTTCTCCAAGGGATCTTCCCAACGCGGGGAACAAACCCACATCTCTTACGTCTCCTGCACTGGCAGGTGGGTTCTTTACTGCTAACGCCACCTGGGAAGCCCCATGGTAAAGTATATATTTCAATGCTCTTCTCTCAATTCATCCTACCCTCTTCTTCCCCTGCTTTGAGTTTGCTTTTCTATGTCTGAGTCTTTATTCCTATTCACAAGTGCCTTGACTGTTCTCAGCCCTTTGCTCTTCCAAATACATTTCTATTAACATTGTCTTTGACTTTCTGTATCTTATGATGTCTTGACATCTTACAAATAGTGTTAGCTGGAGAGAGACTGCAACTCTCAAGGGCAATTGATCCTTAGAGACAGAGTAGGGCTCTACCAGGAGTGTGCCTTCACATGCAAACCAACCAATCCTGAGTCTATGCTCCCTAAACACCTACTTTATCTAACTTTCACACACTTGTGCCCTAAATCATCCCAGGGCCTGGTACTCGGCAACAGGAGACCTATAGCCCAGAGTCCAGCAGAATTAGCCAAGACTGTTGTTGCTGCTCAGTCACTAAGTCCAGTCCAAATTTTCATAACTCTATGGACTGCAGCAGGCCCAGCTTCCCTGTCCTTCACTATTTCCTGGAGTTTGCTCAAACTCATGTCCATTGAGTTGATGATGCCATCCAACCAGCTCATCCTCTGTTGACCCCTTCTCATCCTGCCGTCAATTTTTCCCAGCATCAGGGTCTTTTCCAATGAGTTGGCTCTTAGCATCAGGTGGTCAGAGTATTAGAGCTTAAGCAATCCTAAGTGGTTCACTCTGCCTTGCCCTGACTTTCTGCAGAAATCTCACTAAAGGCTCTGACCTCGGCTTCCTCTCTCTCGTTTCCACCTCCTGACCAAAGGCAATGCTTCCCCTTTGAACCCTGCATGGCAGGGCATCTTGCCCTCTCTTGGGAAGTATAATGACTCTTCTCTCAATGGCATTGAATGTCATCATTCAATCACCTCCACAAGCTCAAATCCCACAGGTACAAATTAGATATTTATAATCAGCTCATTGATTCCCATTAAAATATGTTTGATATTTTGGTTGGAATGGCAGTAAGCTTTTAGATCAGTCTGGCGGGAATTGACATCTTTATAATATTGAATCTTCCTATCCAAGAACATGACATATTTCTCCATACATTTAAGTCCTCCATTAAGCATTTGCACATGTTTTGTCAGATCTGTTCTTAAGTACCCTATCATTTTTGTTTCTATTGTAAAATATATCCTTTTATTACATGAGAATAAAACAAGATAATAAGTGTAAAATATTTAAGATTTGTTGAACGTCTGTAGAAATTGTAGAAGAGATAGAATTAACCTAAGAATCAGAATAGGAGAAAACATGTTCAGGGAAATTAAAGATCATAGAAGTATAGAATAGCAATCATCAATCTATGACCCAAACGCAAAATCTGGCCCCTGCTTATTTTCATAAATAAAGTTTTACTGGGACATAATCATTCTATTTGTTTACATTTTGCCTTTGGTTGTTTCTGATAGTACAGAAAAAGAGCTGAGTAACTACAACAGAGATTGCATGGCCCACAAAGCTGAAAATATTTACTATGTGTCCTTTTACAGAAAATGTTTGCAATCACTGGTGTCCAGTATAAAGGGATGGTGAAAGGAGTGAAAGAAGAAAAGGCCTTTGGTTTTTTAAATTTCTATTTCATAACAAAAGTTCCTTAAATGCCCACTAACATAACTAACCTGGAAGAAATCAGGACCATGTCTGCAGGAAGGAACTGCCCATTGGTAGCCTTCACAATGTCACCCACATTAACCTTTTAAACCAGAAGAGAAAACACAGAAGCATAAGCTTTTAAAAGCACAATTAAAAGAAAAATCTGTCAAATATTCTCAAGAAAAAGTATAAGATGAAAATCCTGGGACCATCCTAATAAATTCAGCTGCATTAGAACAACTGAATCTCCTGATGCTTTCATTCCCCCGTGATATCCTCCATATAAATGCTGTCTTGTACCCACAGCAACAGGTTGTGAACCGTTGACTTTAAGTCAACACCAAAGCCTTTGACAGTGTGGATCACAACAGACTGAAAAATTCTTAAAGAGATGGGAATACCAGACCACCTGACCTGCCTCCTGAGAAATCTGTATGCAGGTCAAAAACCAACAGTTAGAACTGGACATGGAACAACAGACTGGTTCCAAATCGGGAAANATTGATGCTTTTGAACTGTGGTATTGGAGAAGACTCCTGACAGTCCCTTGGACAGCAGGGAGATCCAACCAGTCCATCCTAAAAGAAATCATCCTGAATATTCATTTGGAAGGACTGATGCTGAAACTGAAACTCCAATACTTTTGCCACCTGATGTGAAGAGCTGACTCATTGGAAAAGACCCTAATGCTGGGAAAGATTAAAGACACGAGGAGGTGACAACAGAAGATGAGATGGTTGGATGGCATCACCAACTTGATGGACATGAGTTTGAGCAAGCTCTAGGAGTTGGTGATGGACAGGAAGCCTGGTGTGCTGCAGTCAATGGGGTCACAAAGAGTTGGACACGACTGGGTGACTGGACTGAACTGAACTGACTTTAAATGTCCCATGCAGCAACATGGGGTAACACCCAGGCACAGTGGAGGTGTGCAGACCTCTAGCCAGGTCAACTTAAGTTCGGATCCATTTCACTCCTTCCTGGCCACACAACTTTGAGCAAGAGGCTCGTTTTCTTCGATTCTATACTTCCTCATAAACAACAGCAACAAATGGACAATATGATGGTTTCGAAAGACATGCTTCACGGCTAAAAATCTGTTAGCTTTAAATATGGTAGGTGCTTATGACTAAGTTAAGCATTAAATACATTCTTACCTCTTTCCACAGAATCATTTGCCATGCATTCTGTCTTAACACTGAAGAAGAAACAGCTATGTATTCAGTGTAATAAAGATACCTTTTCCCAAAAACTACAGGCATTTCTTTATATTCTCTTTGTTAATTTAACTTTTATATAAACTGAAAGAGTAATATGTACTTTACCAAAAAGAGCAATATATATAACATAACATGATAGGATAATGATATATTATAATATAATATAAATAGACAGGCAGATAGAGGCTGTATTAAGTCACTTTCAATCCCAAGAGAAAACAGTTCACTGTTATATGCTAAAATACTGGCTGTAGCCTGAAGAGCAACATTTTTCCAATCAAATACAGAGATAGCACATATCAAAACTAGGACTGAGAGAATATGTAACACCCAGATGTTTTTTACGAACATAAGAATTGTTAAAAAACAAAAAAGAATTGTTCATATCCTGAATACTCTACCCTTCCCCACCTTTTATCTTTCCTTTTATTCTAGTTAATGTATTTACATGATTCTAACATATGGAAATTGAGTTTCCTTCTGGTTTTTGCTATTTATTTCTATATTTCTTTAAATACCAAAATGTTATAAAACATATTACAAGTATCTACTTGATGAATTTGGATATTTTCTTAGAGTGAAATAGGGTAAAAGCTAAATCTAATATCTTACCTATTGTGTTCTTTGAGTTAACTAATTTGTCTGCCATATGTCGTTTCTGTTACAGGAAAAAAAAAAACCATGATATCAAAAGTTTGAAATGAATCATTCAAATCACAATACAAGACACAATGGGCTTAAAAAGAATTGAGGCAGTAAACCTAACTATAAAGCAGGTTTTTGCCTATAACTGATTTCACTTTCCTTTCTCCTTTACAGGACTTCCTAAACTGAGGTGTGCCCTAAAGGAGGCCGACGACCAACATGGTCAAGTGTGGGACCTCTAGAACCCGCTTGCCCTGGTTGACGTCCCAACTCTGCCCCTGACTGTGACAGCCTCATCAGGTCATTGACTTGTCTGTGCCTCAGTTTAAATGAATTCACACACACACACACACACACACACACACACACACACACACACGCAAAGATATATCAACACATAGCACAGTGCCTGCTGCATAGTAAAGTGCTTACTTGAAATGTTAGCATTTCATGTGATGTTTGCAATGACTATTTGGCGAAACACATAATTGGCTATGTTGAATATTGCCCCAATATAACCAAAAGCTTTTAAGTTTGAAAAATTCTTTCACACTATACACCAATTGAAAGGCCTAACAGATTTAACTGATGACATAACAAGCTGGTAGGAGTGAGGCAGAAACACATGGATGACCACCACTAGTTATTTTAGAAACTAGCATTAGGACTGTAGGTGAGGAGGGGGAGACAACTCTAGAGAGACCCAAGCTGCAGCAAAAGAAAACACTGTTAGCTATCTGTCTTCTTTTATTTTTCTACTGAAATCTGCAAGTGCCTGTAAAATCACTCCTCTGCCAAGGTTATAGGAGTAACGAAGTAAGATGACAAAGTTGTGTGTACATCCTTCTCTGCCATCTAGGGTTCTCTCCTCTGGCTGGATTATGTCCCCAAAGATACTATCATAGTTCTCAGAATAGATATGAAGTCCTGCTGGTCTGTCAAATACACATACGATTAAAAATGTGAAACCTCAAAACTTTAATTCACTCTTCATATCAACTATAGATTTAAAGAACTATACAGTTCCAACCAGTAGCCTGGAAAAAAAAAAAAAGAGCAAGAAATACACCTCTTACATTCAAGGCAGTGGTTTTGAGAGCATTTACTAACAGTAAACTTACATAATCTTCTACAATCTCTTTAATGCCTGAAATTACAAGAATAACTAGCAGAGGCACCAGAGTTGTGTATTTTCCCGTCGGAGATACGTCTGGAATTTGCTGCAAAATAGAGTTAAACTATTAATTTCTTAAGTCCTTATTATATTTTGCATATACTGAAAGTTACACTGCTAATGGCATGATCCAGGATGTGACAACAGACACATTAAATATAGAGGGAAAGGATTCAGGATACCAAAATCAACCCTGGAGTGTGACACTAAATACTCAAAGTCAAAAAGTCCAAGTGTTAGTCGCTCAGCTGTGTCCAGCTCTGTGCGATCCCACAGACTATACAGCCTGCTAGGCTCCTCTGTCCATGGAATTCTCCAGGCAAGAATACTGGAGTGGGTTGCCATTCCCTTCTCCAGGGAATCTTCCTAACACAGCGATTGAACACTGGTCTCCCATGTTGTGGGCAGATTCTCTACTACCTGAGCCACAAGGGAAGCCCAGACACTAAATGTTATACACTACGGAAAAGTCCCCAGAGCAATTGCTTAATAACATTTCAGTTATTGTGTCACCTTTCTAATATTATGTTTTGGTTGAAACAGCTCAAAACCTCAATGTTTAAAATAGCATCTTTGGGGGAAATTCCTTGGCAGTCCAGAGGTTAGGACTCCACACTTTCATTGCCAAAAGCTTGGGTTCAATCCCTGGTCAGGGAACTAAGATTCCACAAGCCCCACAGCCAAAAAATAAAGTAAATTTTAAAATAATAAATAAAAGAGCATCTAAATGCTAAATCCAAATGAGCAGTTATCTTAATCTTACTTCTTTTTGAGGAAGGGGAGAAATTTTTTGGAGGCCCAGAAGAATAATGTTTCCTGGGTACAAGTTAGCTATAGGCAGTGCTCTGGGGCTACCCGCTACTGTATAAATCGTGAAAAATAACGTGATTGAAACTGAGGTTGTAGTTGCTTTCTGATGGATGCAAGCATAAGTGAGGTCTGGGGTCTGATCCGTTAGTTTTCCAGATTTAGACAAGTTCTTCTTCCGTCACTCAGTCGGGTCTGACTGCAACTCCATGGACTGCAGCACACTAGGCTCCACTATCCTCCACTATCTCTGGGCATTTGTTCAAATTCATGTCCATTGAGTCGGTGTTGCTATCCAACCATCTCATCCTCTGTCATCCACTTCTCCTTTTACCTTCGATTCTTCCCAGCTTCAGGGTCTTTTTCAGTGAGTCAACTCTTTGCATCAGGTGGCCAGAGTATTGGTGCATCAGCTTCAGCACCAATCCTGCCAGTGAATGCTCAGGGTTGATTTCCTTTAGGACTGACTGGTTTGATCTCCTCACAGTCCAAGGGACTCTCAAGAGTCTTCTCCAGCACCACAGTTCAAAAGCATCAGTTCTTCAGCACTGGGACTTCTTTATGGTCCAGTTCTCACGTAATTACTGGAAATACCATAGCTTTGAATATATGGACCTTTGTCAGCAAAGTGATGTCTCTGCTTTTTAATATGCTGTGTAGGTTTGTCACAGCCTTACTTCCAGGGAGCAAGCATCTTTTAATTTCACGGCTACAGTCACCATCTGCAGTGATTTTGGAGCCCAGAAAATAAAATCTGCCACTGCTTCCATGTTTTCTTCTTCTGTTTTCCAGGAAGTGATGGGACTAGATGCCAAGATCTTTGTTTTTTTAATGTTGAGTTTTAAGCCAGTATTTAGACTATATTTCCAGACTTGGGCCTAGGTACACTCTCTATGCTGCCTTAGTATTTTTGCTTGCTTATTATTTCTTTGTATAATAGTACATATACATACACCTAGTTCAGCCTTAAAAGAAATTCTGTCATATGTGACAACATGGATGACCCTTGAGAAAATTATGGAAGTGAAAAAAGCCAGTCACGGAAGGACAATACTATATGACTCCACTGATATGAGGTATCTAAAATAGTCAAACTAACATAATTATCAAGGGCAACAGTGGGTGCCAGAGGCTGGCGATTGGGGGGGGTGGGGCAGCAGGGAAGCAGGAACAGCAAAGGCCCTACAGGTAATAGCACTTGATTGGAGATTGGAGACTTAAAAGTTTAAGGTGCTAGACCTCATGTTAAGTATTCTTATCATTATTGGGGGGGGGAGATGTTATTTTAAACTAATATGAGGGGGTGAATTATATCTTTCAAAATGCAGTAAAATTATCTTATTATAGAGATAGCACAAATGACAAAAGTCACTTCAAAATACATCTCATTAATTCATCTACTGTTCACCAACATGTCTTTCAGCCCAGAAATGGAATTTAGTGTCTCACTGAGTAAGTTAAATATTTTAAGAAGAGAGTTCTCTTTACAGTGCTTAAACTTATTCTCCGTATCACACTCATGAGATTGTTATACCTTTTTTACTTCTTAGAAATCTGAATCTAACAACATGTTCAAAACATCACCTGCAATATAGTGATGAACAGGAAGAAGGCGTTGGCAGTTTTGCTAAACTGCAGATACAAATATCGAGGGAGAAACGACCACATGCTGTACTTGGCTGTGCTGTGGGTAGAAGGGTAGAAAGTTAGAAAGTTAACCTTCTGAACTCAGTAAACACCAACGGAAAACACAAAATTTGGTTATAACTCAGAAGTGGATAAAACATTGTTTTAAAATGTGAGCCTTTTCTCAAGATATTTTGTCTTTTTTGACAGCATTCATTGTTATCTTTAAAAAAAACCCAAGGTAAAAGAAGAATTTCCCCATTTCATGAAGTACTGTGACTACACAGGCAGATGTGGAGAACCAAGGATCTGAAAGCAGAGGGCCGCATGCTATCTAGACACATGGATGACTGAGTCCCTTTGTTGTTCAACTGAAACTATCACAAAATTGTTAATCAGCTATACTCCAATACATAATAAAAAATTCAAAAGAAAAAAAATAAACACATGGAAAGGAGAAGATAATAAGGAACACAATCTGGTAATGAGCAAAATTTTGATATATAAAAATATAAGTTCTGTTCAGAAAGAAAGCACTATAAGACTAAAAAATGATAACCAACTAGGAAAAATATATTTGTAGCACATAGGAAAAAGAGGCTAATATCTCTAGCATACAGTGAGTCTTTAAAAACCATTAAGCAAACAACATTCACCATAATATAAAAATGGATCTAAAGCATAAACAAGTAATCATAAAAAGAATAAATACAAGTGGCCAGTAAGCATAAAGCAAGCAAATAAACCTCTAATAATCAAAGGAATAAAAACAAATAGTCTTTCGCTTCTCACACCGACAACTGAGTGACTGAGCAGTCCCAGCATTATTAGCAAGGACATGAGGAAACATGGGCTCTCAAACTGATGATGTAGGTGTAAACTGGCATCATCTCTGGTGAAGGTTATTTAACATGTATAAAAGTATAGACAGTATGTCTTTTGGTCTAGGATAATGTCTCAGTCTATTTGAGCTGCTGTAACAAGCATACATAAACTGGGTGCTTTATAAACAACCAACATTTATTTCTCACAGTTCCGGAGACTGGGCGGTCTGAGATCATGGCACCAGTAAATTCAGGGTCTGGTGAGTGTCCACTTCACCACTGACATTCTCAGTGTAACCTCACATTGTGGAAGGGGCAAGGCAGCTCTCTGGGGCCCTTTTATAAGGTCACAAGTCCACTAATGAGGACTCTGCCCGAATGACCCCATCATTTCCCAAGGGCTCCACCTCCTAAAACATCACATTGGAGGGCTAGGATTTCAACATATGAACTTTGGGGGAATTCAGACCATGACAGAGAGATGACAGGTAGATATGAATGGTTTAAAAATTTTAGCTCTATAAATCCAAAAATTTAAAGAATCAAATTCTTCAAATATTTTTGTAAAATCTATTGAAGTATGGTTAATTTTAAAAAATGTGTTCTGGGTACCTTACTTATCTTTAATACTTTCTTCTTTTCATATACTCCTTGTATTCTTTAATATGTTTGGATTTGCTGGATATTATGCATGTTATTTTACCAAACTTTTGGAGTTTTGAGATAGGAAATTTAATATTTCTTCTTTTAATTCATCCTCATTGAATTTGAAGAATTCCTTAGGTAGGATGTTTTTGAAAGACTCATGGACTAAATAGAATTAATAATTAGCAATCCAAAATTGTTCTTCAAGTTCATTAAATTTAATAACTTTTCAGACTATTGATACATAAAATAATTTTATAAATATTAAAGCCAGAGCCAAATTTAAAAGAGGTTAAGTTTCTTCATCATGTGTCTTTTAAAAAGCAGATGTTTTATTCTCCCTTCATTTAGGAGGTAGTCCTCCAAAGACCCAGTATTACGGGAGTGGGTTTCCAATTCTGTTTTCCACCAGGTGTGGCCTTAGGTTTGAGTTCCCTTCTCCCACTGAGCACGAAATCTGAAGCCCTAAGTCACCAGAGCTGGGCAGGTGTCCTCCGAAACCTGAGGTGACCTCCGAAACCAGCCACATCAGCATCCTTGACCTCTTTGGGTTCCTGCTTTGCCTTCATTTTTGACTTCAGAGATATCTTCTTTCTCTTGCGAAGTCAATGATGCACATTTTTAAGCTCTTTGGTTAGTTAGTTAATAGTGAAAAAGTTACTGACTACTGACCTCATGTATCCAACCTCTGGCCTTAGAGCCTGGTTTTAAAAAAATAAAGAATATACTTATGTGTGTCTGTATGTGTGTGTGTGTGTATACATGTATATGTGTGTGTGCGTATGTGTGTTAGTTGCTCAGTCATGTCCAGCTCTTTGCAACCCCATGGACTATAGACCACCAGGTTCCTCTGGTCCATGGGAGTCTCCAGAATACTGGAGTGGGTAGCCATTTCCTTCTCCAGGGGATCTTCCTGACCCAGGGATAGAACCCAGGTCTCCTGCATTGCAGGTGGATTCTTTACCATCTGAACCACCAGGGAAGTTATAAACATGTATATGAAAAAAGTCCCTTTTAGGCTTTCATCTAAACTGCCTCTGCAGAGTTTCAGTACTCAGCTCAGTGAATTATTCAGGAAGCAGAACTCTTCCTAGCTAATGCTCATTCCCCAGTGGGTGATGTTGGTGGGTGGTTCCCCTGGCGAGGGCTTTGCCCCGCTCCCTAGCAAACGGTTTTGCTAGAGCACTCTCAGCCTGTGAGTGGGGACAAGTCAGAGCAGACAGCGACTTCAAGAGGCCTCGAAGGGGAGGTGAAGACAAATCCTGTTCTCTGCAGTGAGTTCCTCTAGGTTCAGGAACGCTGTTCTAGCCTGGAGCATCCTCACAAAGTGTTGTTTATTTTGGGGAAGACCACAGCTTCCTCCTTCCTCCTTCCTCTCCTCCTGCCTCCACAGTCTTCTCACCTGATGGAGTTTTTGCAGAAAGTGTTCCTAAGGGGTTCGTTGAGGTAAATGGTGCGGGCCTGTGGCACGTCTGCTCCTTGCCGAGATTGCCTCAAGCCCATCTTTTCTTCCAGTCCGACAGCCCCCAGAGAAGCGAACAGGTCCTGTGGCAAGAAGGCACCAAGACGTTACATGGAAACTCAGGTGAAGGGAGCCTCCAGGGAGGGCAGCGGGTACTCTGTGTGTGTGTGTCTGTGTGTGTGTGAAGGGGTTACACACAGCCTCTCTTGAGTCCCCTGGGGAGGACAGCGATCTTTGCTCCCAGGGACCATGACCTGGGCCAAGAGAGGTGCAGCAGCCTTCCCCTGCTGCCCTGCATAGAGGGGACAGCCAGACTGCTCCACAGCTCACATACCCCACCCCTCCCCAGCCCCAGAGGCTCTGGGTGGGCACAGGGACCAAGATAGGGGTGAGGGACCATGAATTAGGACCCAAAGGCTGGAACCAGAAAGAGGAGGAGGAAAGAGGCTGATGAAAGGGAAGCAGAGGGGAGGATGGGATGGGGGCCCCCCCTGAAGAATGTCTTGGCTAAGGAGCAATGGCTCCCAGATCAGAAACCTGAACCCTGACCAAGATGACCTTCATCTAGACTAAAGTCCAAACAGTTGTCTTACTGCCTGCAGGCCCTTGAAGTCACTTTTCTTTTTTCTAAAGTATTCTCTTTAGATAACCTGTAATTGTAACTAAACTTACTCTATGCCCTTTGAAATGTATGTAAATCTCAAAAGCCCTTTATCAGCTTTAAGATTCAGGAAATCTTTCTCAAGGATCTGGGATATCTCTGAAATGCAATCATCCAGGACCATAGACTCCTGGCTTCGGCTGAGGCACTGCTCAAAGCTGGAAAACTCCCTCCTGTTATGAAAGGGGAGAAGCTGTACTTTTCCTTTGGGTACAATGAATGTTCAAACCCTGGATTGTCCATGATCCCCCTCTTCCCCACCTCAGCTCTTAAAAATCCCTCTCCAGTCCTTTGTGTCAGCTGAGTTGAGTTCTGTCCCCCTTCTTTATGCAAGAGTCTTGAATAGTCTTCCTTGCCTATGTAGCTTTCCTACTCGGACATCTAACTCAAGAAGGAAGAAGGCTTCTGACCAAAGGGCCAGAGGTAGCTTTGTTTGTGGTGAGGAGAGGCCAGCCTGGGGAGGGGCTCTGCCCTGCGGGCCATCCACACTGAGAAAATAACTCTGTATGTGTCCATACACCCACATTGCCCAGATTTGTCAAAATTCTTTCAGCTCAGGGTTAAAGTAGATGTTCAGATTCTCTGGGTCAGGGATTCGACCATCATAATTGTAGCTTAGTCCAGGTATTTCTCTTCCCACATTTCACTAACAAAGTATCCATGAGTGAGGGGAAGATACAAGAGAAACACAATAAAAGAGGTGAATGACAGCTAAGCTGCTGCTGATGAACATAAACAAAGCTCTGGGTCTTCACCCAACCAGAGACCTGTGTCATCAGGGCTACCTCGTAAAGCCTGCTGACCTGCAACCTAAGGGGAGGTTGCCAGTGGCCGACTGCTCCCACTGGGAAGGGTCAAGCCTAAGGCAATGCCCCTGCGCACCCACGAGGTGCCTCCTTCCTCAGCAGGTACCTGGTCAGGAGAGTGGCCCAGGAAACTGAGCAGTGGTAGAAAGTAATCCAGCACAGGATCCATGCAAAGTCATGCAGGCTTTTGCCCAAAATATGACAAAGTAGGAGGAACAAAAGACAAAGGGAGTTGTTGTTTGCATATCGAAAGAATTAAGTAGCAAAACACATAGAAAATGCATTTACTTTAAAAGAAGTTAAATATAGCCATGATGAAATAAGAGCTCAAAAAAAATCATTTTTTAAAGTGATAATAGAGACTTTCCTGGTGGTACAGTGGTTAAGACTTCGCCTATGCAAAGGGTGAGGGTTCGACTCCTGGTATGGGAGATAAGATCCCACAGCACCTTCTGGCCAAAAAACCAAACCATAAAACAGAAGAAATATTGTAATAAATTCAATACAGACTTTAATAATGGTTCACATTAAAAAAATCTTTAAAAAGTAAAGTGATAATAAAACTTCAGAAGAATTTTAAACTGACCTGAAAGAGCTCAGGGAAGAAATGAAAGAGAAAAATACCTTAAGAAAATGAAAAGCTACATTGAAGCAACTCAAATAATAGCTGAAAAGAGGGGGTGTGCTGCACATACTACAGAAAACTAAGCAAGATGAAATTTGAAAGAGCACAGAGGATAAAGAACTGGAGAAAAATTATAAATTTAAGACAAAGTATATCCGATGTGTGTATATTTGTTGTCCTTGAAAAAGAAACAAAAAATGAAAAAATTAGCTAAGCAGTTGCTGATGCAAATAAAAAATTACAAATAAAAATATCCAAAGCCATGGTAGAATAAACTTGTCATTAAAGACTTTTCTTTAAGGGGCATAACATGATTAAGGAAAATCTGATACAAAACAATCAATGCCCAATGCCAAGACACTTCCTGACAAAGTTTGTTGGACTTTAAGAATAATGAAAAACAGATCATTATTCTTTTTAAAAAAATCATTATTTTCAATCAAAAGCTAGATTATTCAATGCATTTATTTGGCTGCGTGGGGTCTTGGTTGCAGTACTGGGGATCCTCCTTGTGTCTTCCGTTGTGCAGGCTCCAGACCACCAGGGCTCAGTTGTTATAGCAGACAGGTTTAGTTGCCCTGGCATGCAGGATCTTAGTTCTAAGAATAGGGATCAAACCCATATCCTTGCATTGCAAGGTGGATTCTTAACCACTGGACCACCAGGGAAGTCCCCTAAAACCAATTTAATCGCCTACAAAGTTTGGAAGGAAAGGGAATACTGGGGCCACACTTATACTCTACTACTGAACATTCAAGCCAAAGACAGAAAACTGAATATCCCACCAAAAAATGAATGAAAAACTTTGGTAATCAAGACTAGTAGGAAGCAGTGATTTATTTAGACACAAAAGTAAGGCTTTAGATAATGGTGGGCAATCTTACTGTGACCAAACTCTCTACTGAAGCATTTTAAAATGCTAAAAAAAAAAAAAAAAAAAAAAGCCAAAATTTTAAAGTTTTTTTTAATGCATTGAATAGTCAAGATAACAGCTATTATTGGGCAAAAATTCAGTCAAAAGCAAAAAATCCAGAGAAACAGGTGAAAAAAATCAAAAAGCACTTTTTCCCAGAAGAAATTTGCAAAGTCCTACTAAAGTTAACTATAGAGAAATAGAGGGTATATAAGTCAAGGCTCAGGTCCTGAAAGGCTTAGGGGATTTGAAAGAACCCTATGGTCACACAGATTCATCTCCTGAGGAAGGAGAGAGAAAAAGGGAAGAGGGAAAGAGAAGGAAGGGAGGAAGCGAGGGAGGGAGGAAGGAATGAAGGAAGGAGACAGAGAACACATCCTGGAAGGCTATAACTTCTGGTGGGCTGGCTGTCTAGCAAAATAATCCAAACTGGAATCACCAGAGTTGAAAGAAACCTCAAGCTTCATTTAAAGGGTTCAACACTGGGAGTGCTAGAGGTGACTGAAACAAATAGCCCGCTCTAAAGAAAAATACCATCATCCTAAGCCTCATAAAATCCCCACAAATTACTTATTGAGGGGAAGGAGTAATATACAGCCAAAAAAGGAAGCAAAGCATCATAAAAAATCAGCATTATGAATAAAAGATGGCAGAAACTGCCCACTAAAGATTTCAAATGCTTGAGTTAGAAGGTACAGATTTCTTTAGAAAGAAAATAACCATATAAAAAAAAAGCACAAGCTTTAACATACCTATATGGAGAGAAACTATGAGAAGTAACCCAACAAGTGTGAAAAGAACCAGACAAAACCTCTATAAATGAGGGAAGTCATAGTCAAACTTAAAAATTCAGTGGACAAATTTGGCAGCAGATAGGCTGCTGCTGAAAGTGAAAATAATAAGATGAAATAGAGATCTGAGAAATTATGAAAAATACAGCTTGAGGAAGGGAATAGATGGAATATACATAAAGAAATTCAAGTAAATAAAGTAAAATGATCTAACAAAAATTTAATTGGAGTCTCACAGGGGAAAGAGAGGAGAAAAAAAGTGGAGCAGAGGCAATATGTGAAGAACCAATGGCTATGACTCTTCCATAAAAGCAAGAAAACCAACAAATCTTTATAAGATAAATAAAAACAAAATCATACTTACACATGTAGTAAATACAGAAAACAAAAGTCAAAGAAAAAATCTTAAAGTTAGCCACAGAAAAATAAGAGGGGAAGCAGGAACTCTTCCCAAAATATTTTATGAAGCCACATTATAGTGATATCAAAACCAAAGTCATTATAAGAAAAAAATGGTACAAAATACTTTATAAACATGGACACAAAAATCTTTAGCAAAGTATTTAAAATCTACTACTATGCAAAATGATTATACATCATAATTTTTATAGGTGGAATTGTGTTTCCCCACCAAAGGAAACATTAATATATTGACATCCTGACCTTGGAGTAGTACCTCAATGTGATTATATTCAGAAATAAATTGTCTAGATCTGTTTGGGTCACTATAACAGAATACCACAGATAGCGTAGCTTATAAACAACAGAAATCTGTTTCTCACAATTTTGGAAGCTGAGAAGTTCAAGATCAAGACACCAGCATGATCACGTTCTGGTAAAGACCATCCACCTGATTCATAACGCGCATTCTGTGTTCTCACCTGGAAGAGGGTCTATGGTGCCTCTGGACCCTCTTTTATGAGGCAATAATCCCATTGATGAGAACTCCACTTTCATGCCTAAGCTCCTTCCGAAGGCCCCACCTACAAATACCATCACCTTTGGGGGGTTAGGATTTCAACATTATGAATGGTGGGGAGGTAGGACACAAACTTGAAAACCATAGCATACGTTGTTCGCAGATTTAACTAAGTTAAGATGATGTCATTAGGATGAACCCGAATCCAATGTAACTAGTGTCCTTATAAAAGAGAGACATTTGGGCTCAGAGACAGACATACAAATAAGGGGAAGATGTGCAGAGACAGAGAATGTTACATGAAGATGGAAGTAGAATGGAATTCTGTTGACATAGGCCAGAAATGGAAAGAACAAAGAATGATCCTTCCCTACAGGCTTCACATCGAGCATGGGCTGATGACACCATGATTTCAGACTTCTATCCTCAAGAAACATGAGACAGTAAATCTCCGCTGTCCTAAATCAGCCATTTTGTGGTACTTTCCTGTGTCAGGAAATGAATGATGACCATGTGGGGACTGGTTCAAAATTGGGAAAGGAGTACATCAAGGCTCTATATTGTCACCCTGCTTACTTAACTTACATGCAGAGTACATCATGAGAANAGAGGATGAGATGGTTGGATGTCATCACTGACTCAATGGACATGAGTTTGAGCAAACTCCAGGAGATGGTGATGGACAGGCAAACCTGGCATGCTGCAGTCCGTGGGGTCATAAAGCATCAGACATGACTGAGTGACTGAACAACACGTGGGGTTAGGGTTAGGGTTAGAAAGCAAGGTTGAATCATTTGAAACCAAAATAATGAAACTTGTCAAAAGACTGAAAAGCACGGTGATGATGTCAGTAGATATAGAAGAACTATTTGACAAAATTTAACATTAATCAATAAAATCTCTCAGCAAACCAAGAAAAGAAGGAAATTTCCTCAACCTGACAAAGGATTTCTATGAAAAACCTGCAGCAAATATCATACTTAACTGCCAAAGACTGAATGCTTTCTCTGTAAGACTGGAGACAATACGAGGCTGTCCTTTCTCACAGTGTCTATGCAGTGTTGTAGCGGAGGCTTTAGTCAGTACAATAAGGTAAGAAAAACAAGTGAAAAGGGAAAAACAGAACTGTATTAGAAAACAACATGATGGCATCAAGGAGCCTACTTTACAAGTTGTTCTGGTGCAACATGTAAAGAATTTGGGAGTCAAGACTTTTATCCTTACAAATTAAAAAAAGCTAAACAAATTGAAAAACAACTCTTCTGAGATCCATAGATAGATAATCTCAAAAACCTAAGAATGATGTGAAAATGATACATTATTGTTGTTGTTTAGTTGCTAAGTCATGTCCGACTTTTTGTGACCCCACAGATTGTAACCTGCCAGGTTCCTCTGTCCATGGGACTCTCCAGACAAGAATACTGGAGTGGGTAGCCATTCCCTTCTCCAAGGGATTTTCCCAACCCAGGGATCAAACCTGGGTCTCCTGCATTGTAGGCAGACTCTTTACCACTGAACCGCCTGAGAATCCCATGAAAATGATACATGTACTCTATTAAACTATTTATGCAAACTTTAAAATACATAACTACAATATTAAGTCTTGTTTATGGATCTATAGTTATAAATGTGATTTTAGAAATTAAAAAAGGACTAAAATCATGTAACAGAGCACATCCCTTAGCACGCAGCCATTGCTGGGCACCATTACTCAGCACCCTGTTACCAGGCAACGGGTCCTCCTCAGCCATTGGTCAGCCCCTCGGTGGGCCCCGTCCACAAGCAACCAACTGTCAATGAGGCGCCATTAGAGAGGTGACTCAGTCAACAGTTGGTGGTGCTGTGGTCCTCAGGTGGAGAATGAGGTAAGAGGCAGATCCCTGCCTTCTCCCTGAGACCCTCCAGCTTGCCCAGGCTTGGGCCAGCGGGTGAGCTGGTGGGAGAGGGGACGGCCAGCAAACAGGCTGGGGGTTGTGTCCTGCAGGGCTCCAGAGCACTTACCAGGGCCATCCATTGGCCAGGACTAGGCCTTGAGGCGGCAGTGGACCCCTCTCTCATTCCTGTCTCTGTGACCTCAATGGTTGCGGCTGTCTGCCTGGGTCAGAGTCTGTAGGAACTGCCCCCACCTTGTGGGAGGCCTGAGGAGTCCGAGGGCTTGTTGGGTTGGGTGCCTGTCTCCCTCAGGGATGACAACTGGGTAGGGTCTGGGGACCTGGCCTTAAGAAAGCTGCCAGCTGAGCTCTGCCTCCTCTCAGCCAGGACCGCGACCTAGGAGGGCGACAGCTGTGCTTGGGACCTGGCTCTTTCTTGTCAGGGCAGAGAAGAACATTTGTTTGGTAGAGGTTTACAGAAACATCGTCACCTGACCATGAACTGGCCTCAAAAACAAGGATCTGAAGTCTGCAGCAACTGACAAGGTCCCTCCCTCACCTTTCCTAGAAAAGGGCTTTACTGAAAGCCTTCAGTAACTTTGGGGTTCTTAGTGCCTGAGCCACCCATCTCCTTGTGTGGCCCTGTAACAAACCTTTCTCTGTTTCAGACTCCAATGTTTTAGTATTGATTGGCCTCACTGTGCCTTGAGCACATGGATTTGCACTTTCGGTAACAATCAAGCAAAGCACACTTGTAATTGCTTTGGGTGGGAGGTGGGAAAGCGGGGACAGGAGGAATGAGCCTAGAGGTAATGGTTAAAGGTGGCTTTTACTTTGCTTTATCCTAACGATTCCTTTTTTTGAAAGAATGTAAAGAGAAAATCCTGGAAGCAAATGTGACAAAATTATAAAGGCTGTTTATTCTATAGGGTGAGAATACAGTGATGAATTTTGTACATACATCGTCACATATCGCATAGCACTGGCGTCCACTGAACAGTGACAGGTAACACACTAGAGTATGTTTACTGCTAAGTCACTTCAGTCGTGTCCAACTCTGCGACCCCATAGACGGCAGCCCATCAGGCTCCCCCACCCCCTGGGATTCTCCAGGCAAGAACACTGGAGTGGGTTGCTGTTTCCTTCTCCAATGCATGAAAGTGAAAAGTGAAAATGAAGTCGCTCAGTCGTATCCAACTCTCAGAGACCCAATAGACCGCAGCCCACCAGGCTTCTCTGTCCATGGGATTTTCCAGGCAAGAGTACTGGAGTGGGGTGCCATTGCCTTCTCCGAGAGTATGTTTAAGCAGTAGGTAAATTACAATTGAATTCATCATCTCAGTTGATTATTTCTCTGGCCATTCACGCAGGACCCTGGTTTCAGCTTCTCATCACCTGCCCCATGATACCTGGAGGGCAAGAACCTGGGGTGAAAGGGGAATAGTGGCAGACTGCCAGAGTAGAGCAACCAGACCTGACTGAGTTCAGTTACTGTAACTGCTGCAGGGCAGCTGCCAGGCTTAAAGGGACAGCAAGCTGAAGGAAGGCGCTTCAGAGTTACTCACCAGCCTCAGGCCACGGAGACCACTTAGGACCAGAATTGCTGGTCCTTTCAAGAAAGACCTTGAATGTATGTTGTAGCTCAGCGCAAACACCTCTAGTCCCAGACTGGCCCCTGGCCTTCGCTGGGAATGAAACCTCCCCAGCTGGCCTCCGAGAGTTCTGACAACTGAGGGCTCAGTGCCTTCCCTCCATGCTGCACTTCTGAGATGGGGTGGCCAAGCTTCTCATCCGTACTCACTCACAGACTGAAAAGGAGGCCTTCTACACTTAGAAGCCAATTCACCTTTCTCCTAAGTGGTGAAAAAATACATAATATACCTTATTGATGAGTGAATGCATCATGGTCAGACAATACCTCGCTTAACATGACATAAAGTAAACTTGATGACTTTTGCCAGTATTGGTGTAGCCTAAATCATTGTTTCTCAAGCTGGAAGATCTCAGGAACTCTTCATATGCAAAGAACCCAAGGAGCTTTTGTTTATGTGGCTTCTATCAATCAGTCCTTACCATATTAGAATCTACACAGATACTGAAACTGAACAGGCCCTACAGTCCTGTTGCAGTGAAAAGGAAAAAAATAAAAAAGAGAGAAATGAGTTTTTCTCTTTCCCTTTCTGAGAACAAAGGAAATAAAGAGAACAGTGAGCAGACCTAAACTCATGGAAAGTGTTTTACTTTAACTGCTCCTAACTCTGCATGCCTGCAACTAAGTTTGCTTTTCTGCCCCCCTGACTCAGCAGGAGCTACACTTCACATCTATTTTCCTTTGGCCCTACATGCTAAATACATCCTGTATCTGGTGTTTACCCTTACAACCCTTCCCCCTATAGTTACATATCAGAAAGTAGGCCGCAGAGGCATCAAACCGCCAGACCCAATTACCGGGTTACTGACACCAGTCTATGACTGTCTTTGAAACAATGCAAGCGGAAGAAATCAAGATCCGAACACTTTTGTTCCTCATCACGACTCCTCACTTTGAGCCCTCATCTTCTATAAGCCTCTAGATCCCTCATGGATGGGAGGCACAGTCCTTGAAGTTTGAGCCTACTGTTTTGCCCTCTCCACTGGCTGAGAATTAAGCCATCTTTCTATTTCCTCCAAACTCTCTCTGTGTATTTTTCATTCTGCTTTGGTGGGCAGAGAAAGTCAAGACTCTGGCCAGCAACAGTCCTTCCTCTCTTACCCATGTTCTCTGGCTGCCTTTTGTCTGTGGAAAAAACTTTAGCCAAAGAATAGGTTTAACCAGAGAAGAGAAAACACACAGAAACAAAGGAAAATAGTCACAGCAGACCAAATAATACTTGAGTCATTAAGCATAGTTAAGGACCTTTAGTTCCTCCTCAAGGGCTATAATGTTCTGAGCCATAATATATGAGCTATCTTGGAGACTGAAACCCCCACCAGGTGGAAGAAGTTAACTACATGATGACCAGACTATAGCCATGACATAAGCTGCCACAATTCTGAGAACTGGCTTCAAAAAATGGAACCAAACCAGCCCTGGAACGAAAACCTAACCGTTCTTAAAACAAGATGACACTGGTCAGACCACTGCATGACTAGTTTCAAGATGACTGTCAGAACTGACTGCATCCAAAATAAAGCAAACTTTTATTAATTCCACCAACCTGGCCTCTTTAATGGCTTTTGAATGGCAAGCAGTGGGACCTGGGTTCCAGTAAACAGTACCAGCATTCCTGAGAGCAAGTCAGCACTACTTACTGAAGCTAAATATGCATATACCCCCAAACCTCAACCGCTCAACTCTAGGACATACTTACCAAAGAAACCACAGGGTAGGTTCATAATGAGACATGCACAGATCTGTAGAAGTGGGAGCAGCTGGGAACAACATCCATGATGAAAGGAAGAGATAAGTTATGGCGCATGACTGCTGCAGAATCATACATGCCAGTCAGAAGCATGTTATACAAAGTAACATGAATAGTTCTCAAAAAAAGCCAATATTTTATGAAACTTAGAAGCTAGTTGAGATGTATATCACAAAGTCATTTACCCAAAAATTTTAAACTTTAAATATTATTATATAGTTTTTTAAGAAAATATGTTCAAAATATAGAAGACGGCTTGGGAGGACAAACCTTAAAGACATTAGGGAATGAGATGTATGGAACTGCAGGAAGGAGATGAAGAAAAATGACCAAAAGAAAATGAAAGAGAAAAGTGTAGCCTTTCTGGACCAATAATGTTGTGCCATGAATAAAGAGTCTGATGATGACTAACTCGATTCTCAGCATCTGAGGTCCCTAAAAAACAGAAGTCGTTTCACATGAGCAGAAAAGACTAAGACTCACTGGGACTTCCCTGGAGGTCCAGTGATTACAGCTCTATGCTTCCACTGCAGCGGGCACGGGTTCAATCCCTGATCATGGAACTAAAATCCCACATGCCACTCAGCGCAGTTTAAAAAAAAAAGACTTGCCGAGATTATGTAAACATTTCTTTACATGTGACAACTACTCATGGGATGTGATACAGTAAGTGCCCCACAGGATTCATGAGTTAGCTGACCAGTTAATTCTCCCAAGTAAAATGAGATTTTTAAAAAACTGTATAATATGAAAGGGCAGTTCAAGACAATGCTGAAGACATAAAATTTCTTGTGTTGAACTAATACCCTGTTTTTCTAAGTTACCTGTATCAGCAAAATAATTTTAATATACATTTTGGGCAAAGGAACAAGTAAACAAATTTTCATTTCTAATTAGGTATGTGTGAGTCTGAAATTTTTTTCAGGATGTAAGAAGCTAGAGAATACATAGAAAAAATTATAAAACATACAACTGCCATATCATCTTACTTTTGATTATTCTTGACATTACAGAGATGATATTCCATCCATACAGATTTATATATTAGGTAACCTCCTCTGCTCTGTTTAACTACTGTATGTCCTAGGGGAGAACTGGAGAGAGAGAAACCAGAGCACAAGGGCACGTGAAAGTTCTCACTCAGTCAACACATACTTATTGAGCACCTGGAATGTGAGAGCCACTGGCTTAGACTTGATCACAGGTGATAAACATGACCACTTCAGTGGAGCTTCTGGCCTGAGGTGGGAGGAGAGCTTCTCAGGCCACTTCTAGGAGCCTCTTAGCCGAGTAGCTCCCCGCGACTCACCAGCAGACGGTCTGGACTTTGCCAATCTTTCATTCTTTTCCATGCTGGCTTAAAGCGCCAGTCACATGTCTGGATAGTAACCCTTGAGCATAGGTTACAAGGGATGAGAAATCTGTCTCATGGATAGGTTACAATCCATGAGAAAGGATGAGAAAGAAAGGGTCCTGAACTCTATGGTCCCCTCACCACCATGGTTCTAGAGCACTGCCCACAAAAAGACCCAAAATCTTGAAATAAATACATTAAAATGCATCCACCTTATATTTCATTAAGAAAATCTATCATAATAAGTAGTAAAAATTCATAGGTATATTCATCAAGCTGTTAATATTTTATAAAGTACCCAAAAAAAAGACACCTTCACACTTTAACTATAGGTGCGTTGACTACTGGAAACAGTCAAAATCAGTGATTGTATAGAATAGCACAGGTTTTCTGACACATATAAAATTGTATGACTGAAATAACTAAAGAAACAGAAGAAGCACATCCTAAATGCTGAGTGTCCAGAGTGCTATCAAGTCCCCCAAGCTTTGGTGGGTGCACAAGTGTTGAGAGGCTGTCGAGCCTTCTGCACCAAGCTGGCAGCTCTCAGCACCTCCCAAAGCAGGACAGGCACCTTCCTCCTCTCCACAATAATGGTGATACAAGGTTATCTTGTGGGATAGGCTTTGCCAAGGACTCAGGACTAATAAGGGCTTCCCTGGTGGCTCAGATGGTAAAGAATCTGCCTGCAATGCAGGTAGACCCAGGGTCCATCCCCGGGTTGGGAAGACCTGCCCCCACCCTGCCCCCTGCAGAGGAGGGAATGGCTACCCACTGGCCTTCTTTCTTGGAGAATTCCAGTCCACAGGGTCGCAAAGTCAGATACGACAGAGCAAATAGCACTTTCGCTTATAAAGGGAAATTAGAGCAGAGCAAGGAACAACTTGAAACTCATTTGTAGAGATGTGGACCGACCTAGAGACTGTCATACAGCATGAAGTAAGTCAGGAAGAGAAAAACAAGCATCGTATATTAACGTATGTATATATAAAACCTAGAAAATGGTACTGATGAACCTATTTGCAGGGCAGGAATAGAGGTGCAGACATAGAGAACAGACTTGTGGACAGAGAGGGGAAAGAAGAGGATGGGACAAGCTGAGAGAGGAGCACTGACATAGACACACTACCTTGTAAAACAGCTAGTGGGAAGCTGCTGTCTAGCCCAGGGA